GAAGAACCAGACCGAGTCACGAGAGTTGTATCGCGGTAGTTTGCCACTGCTCAGCAGGTTGGGAATCATGCCATGCTTGAGCACACTTGCGAAAGCGATGATGTGCTGCCTAGCATCGTCGAAACGACCTGTGACAAGGAAAAGACCACGGATAGAGATAAAGATGTCGCGACCCCAGCATCTCGCCCAGTCAACGGCAAAATGAGGCAAGCCAGCGGCAAGGCTAGGGACCTGCTGGGTGGGCCACAGCGACGCAGACTTTACGTAGCCAGTTTGCTGGACACTGACCATAGCCAATTGGTGAATGAATTCCTGACCATGGCGCACATTATCACCGAGCAGGTGAATACCACGCTTCCAAGCAGCATTGTAAGCAACTTGCACGATGATTGCAAAGTACCTTGGGAAGAGGAAGTGCGGCAGGCTGCGAACAGCATCGAACCTTTCGCGCAGCCATGCAGCGGGCTTTTGAAGGGCATTATATCCTTCTTTGGAAGCTGCCTTCTCCAAGCGTCCAACGATATAGTCTGAAGCCCACTGGCCTTGTCGCAAATGATCACATAGAGAGTGACCGAGCTGATTGTATTTGATGATGTCTTCGAGAACACTCCACCATCCTTGAAGTCCAGCATAGACGAGAGCTCCATGGTTAGGGATGCTATACACGCCGTCTTGACCATCGCTGGAGTCTCTCTCTTCGGCGTCGCAGCGGTACAGTGCGAAGTTCAAATCAACCAAGCTGAGCTCACTGAATGCGTCATCTGCACCATTGGCGAGTTTGTTCTCAAATCCATCTGCGTGATCAGCACCGGGGATCCAGGTCTCAAATAGAGCAATAGAACCGGGAACAAGGGTATCGAGAACGGAGATAGTAACGTCCTTGTCGTTTTGCTCGATTTTAGTGCTTTCAATATCGCGTGTACGGCTAGGGAGGCCTGCCAAGTACTTGTCGTCGGCCAGGACCTTTGCTTTTACTTCATCTCTAGCATCAACCTCAAGTTGCCAGGATCCAATGAACTTGGCAGTTGTGCCAGCGATATGAGTTGGGGGCAAAATTGCGCCACTCTCTTTGCCCGGAAAGGCAGTATGCGCGATCAAGAAGATACCCTTCCTGGTCTTGGGGTGAACTCTGTGCACCGTAATGTATTCACCGTCATGGTGAATGTGGGTCTCATCATAGCCTTCAACTCCCATCATAGTGTGGAGTTCGTTCAGGAGCTTCTTTACTCCACCAATCCCGCCTTCTCCAGACCCGGTTGACAGTGTCCCCGAGTCCGAGAACTGCGATGCGTATTGTCTAGTTTCGTGAACAAGATCAATAAGTTTGGGATACACCTCATCGTAACCCATCACACTTCCAGTTGCGGACGCGCACATTGCGACCAATGCGGCATTTGGAAGAGTGTCTCTAGCATCGCGCTTTTGGGCAGGTACTTCATTGTCGTGAGTACAGTCCATGAACAGGGCCGGAACGGGGCACGGCCGGATATGGGTGATGTTTTCATCAGAATTGCCAGACTTGGCGGAAGCAATTGCGTGGCTACTGCCAGCCGAAGGGAGATCAACCTCAAAGCTGCCGATTGGACGGCCACCATGACGATGGACGAGACGACTCAGCTCTTCGGTGCTCCAAGCTTGCATAGCTTCCCGAATCAAAGCATTGATGCCCAGTCGCTTGACAAAGACGTAGTCAGCATCTTCTGAGCCAGTGAAGAGCTCTGCAAAGACGGTAAGATCGGGCCGGACTTTGCGTGCTTCATCAAGCAGGTATTCTGCGACTGCGAGTGGGGTCGAATGACAGTTGTCAATCCGGAAGCCAGAGAAGTACTTGGCCATAAGGCGGGTGTACCGGGTCATGAAGTCCCAAAGGAAAGGACTGTCTTCAGGGGAGGATCCATATCGGAGCTTCACGCAATCGCCCCATACAATCACCTCGCGGCGCAGATATGCCCTGGACTCGGGGCCGGCGTTGTCTCGCATCGCATCGGCATTCCAAATCCACCCGTTGTTGACCAAGGCAAGGGATTTTGGATTGTGCTTTTTCGTGACTTCATTGACAGGAAGGCGGGTGAAGTAGGTCTCGATCAGAGGGTTCTCCTTGGTAACGGGGCCCATCTTGGGACCATGGTCCTCGATTCTGAGATACTTAATACGGTTGAAAAGTTGATCCATGATCTCAGCGACGTCTGCATCATACTCCTTGTAGAGTGGCAGGTTGGCTTCATTGAGGAGCTTCGACAAGGTGTCTTCCGCCTCCGCGAAGTTGGTGCTTGCTTCATCGTAATCGCCGAAAAGTACCGTCAAGGCGACAGCGCCGAATGTGGGATCAACCGCACGACCAAAGCGTCCAAGAACTTGCTTGGAATTAGGAATACCGCATTCACGCGTAACGTTGGCTTGCTGCTTTAGTGACCAGCCCTTGAACTGCTGCATATCATGGCGTTTAATGAGTGCACGGTCAACCTTCGTGCGCTTCCATTCGTCCAGAATACTCTTGGTATCATTCTTTACGTCGAGGACGTAGAATTCCCATAAGCGAATACCATCAATGACTTGCTTCCGCGCAGCGTTCATGACTGTAACCAAATCGTCTGTAGTTTTGAATTCCGTCGGAAGACCAAGTTCCTCGAGGTCGTATCCGAATTTCAACAGCGCAGTGTCCAACTCGAGGGCTGCTTCCAGCCACGGTGCAGTCTCCACGCTGTATCCAGACTCTGGATGCTCCTCCAGCCACTTGCTGTTATTAGCTGTGTGGTTCCAGACCACATCAGTCAGAGTGAGGAGGCCGTACTCCTTCTCCATCTTCGCGACCAATGAAGCGACATCATCCTCGCCGTTGGGGAAGAGAGTGCTGTCAAAAGCCAACTGGTCAAAAATGCTGTACGGGGAGTTCGACGATCCACGCTGCATGAGGGGGGTGAAATGAACCATGTTGTAGTTCCGTTGACCAATGCCACGAAGATGTCTGTCCCAGTCTGTAGGATATTGACCCATGAACTTTGAGATCACCGAGAAGATAGACAGCGCGTTAAGCGGCAAGTCTTTTCCTTGAACGGTGAGTTTCGGCGACACATCAATGTAATGAACGGGCGTCTGAGTCGGCTTTGGAGAAGGAACATCCTCAACAGAAAAGTCCGGCAGCGGGGTGAATGTTGTGTAGAAAGCGAAAGCTCCAGCAATGGCCACAGGGATATCGATCTGGATGTTCTCATTGAAATTGGGTTGCAATCTACTCCCGTTTAGTAATTGCGACCTTGAATCTCACAGAAAGCAAGCAAGATAGAGAAATTTACCCAAACTCCCGGAACGAATAGCGTTCGAATGGCTTGCCCTCCTCGGGAATGTTCACCCAGAGACTGCCCTGTCGACAGATCGAGCTTGTGCCCTCAATGATGAAACGGAGAACATACCCACCCTTTGGTGGAGGAGGCAGGTAGATATACCCACCAGGCACATCTGGAGATCCATCATCCTTCAGCGGAAGCAGGTAGACCTGACGTGAGGAGCTCATTGCAGCTGATCGGCAACGATTCGATGAACCTGGGTATCACCCAGCGGATAGTGAGAGTAGAGGAGAATCTCAAGCGATTCACCTTACTTTCACTAGAAAAGCGAAGAGAAAAATGGGAGAGAAAAAAAAGAAGAAAAAGCAGGGCAGAGAGGGAGCCGAGCGTTCCCCTCATCCCGTGTTCCTGGAGAAAGCCCAGACCTGCAGGGAATGACATCATGCATTTGCTTGTCTTGGCGCATATTTTTAGCTCTATACAGCTCTCTGCCACTTGGACCCATATGCCAGTGACTAGCATATTTGTGATCCTAGCAATGCAATTGATTGCGCCACAAAGCCCACTACGTAACAAGTTGATTACTTACTACACATTCTTAGAGTCGAATCTCCGCGGAAAGAATCTCCCTTCTATATACTTCATAATTTCTTCAGTAGCCTGTTAGGTAGACTTCAAGGATACAGTTTATAGTAGTCGCTCAAGCTTGGTGGATTTGTAAAGCAGTGGAATGTGTATAAGTTCGCCAATTATAGCATAACCTCCTCGCAAACCACCCAAGATGCAAAAAATAGCTTGCAGTCAACAGCCTCAGCTCTTTCCGATCCTACGATGTAGTCGTTGGAGATTGTGCGGGAATTAAAAACACTCAGTAGTTTCTGCTCACAACCATCTTTGTCTTTCCAACCCGCTTTACTGACTGTTCCAGCATGGGCAGTATATGAGCAGATGCAAGGCCGAATATCTCGTTTGAGGGCTCTTTTTATAATGTTACCTTACGCAAATTTCCCAATTGAGGGCTTAAAAGTCCCCGGTAATCTGGAGAGGAAAAAAAGACGAGCATCCCATCCGACTTACAATATCTGCTATACTAGCCATACCCTGTTCCAAGATAGCAACCAACGTTACGTTTACGGGACTAGCAATTTTCTACCTTCTACGAAGATGACATATAGGTTTGAAAATTTGCTGAGACACATGAAGGAAGTGCGTAACCTCCACAGAATCTATTCTCTACCAGCCTCCAGCAATTTTGCGTACAGTGCAGCATTTCAATTAACAATTATAGACGGAGAAGAAAGGGAATTTATCTCACATAGCGCATTATGACATTATCTTGTCTTCATGTTCATTTTGCTGTTAACGTTACTTAACTTTACTTAACTTGCTCCAGTACTTCTGGTAGATTGGAACCAAGGTTATTTAGGGTTTGATCTCGAGATCGGGACCTGGCTCGCCCGTTGAAGTCTAAATCAACGTGTCTAGGAATGGCTAGTTTATGATATCCATTAACCTTTTAGTTACTAGGTAGAGAACAAAACTATATCGACTTTAAGAAGGTCAGCGAGCTTACTAGCGCTTAATGGGGGGATCTTCCACTTGAACTTTCATGGTTTGCGAGCAGAAACGAGCTAGGATTCTTCACATAGTCTGGTTTCTGAGTAGGTCATAACTAATTTCATAACAAAGAAGGGGTGAAGGAATCAGGTCGCCAAAATGGCTAGGCGGTTTGAGGCGGGAGCATTGCCCAACTTGGGAGCGCCAGTAAGGCCGGAGTGGAGCGCCAAGCCCATCTTCGCTCCTGCGTATCTAGAATCTCTCAATCCCAGCCATGTTTCAACTTTTAGTCATTCCACGCCGAAGTGTCCCATGATGGAAGCCATTGCTGATGATCTCCCTGATAACGATGTAAATGGTGACATTTCCTCGAGCCGTGACCAGGACGCCAAAGCAGAGCAACGCAGACAGCAGAACCGACGGAATGCACAGGGCTGGAGTAAGTGGCCCCAGTCACTTTGTACCAGAGACCGACTTTGTTTTTCTTATCTGATGGTATACAGGGCATCGATAACGGATGAAAAGAGATGCCGAACAATTGGCGCAGAGAGAGGGCTGGCAGCAAGCCCAACTTTCGGCCGAGAAAGACTTCGTTGGATGGACACGATCTCCCACGCTGAATTTCAATGAATTGATCAGGATCTCCCAGGAACCACGTGAAAAATACGGGGAAATATCCAAGCAATGTTGTCTATCTCACCCCGATCTCTATCACCACTTGGCGGTCTTCGAATCGGCAGCATATCTGAGCTACTGTGGAGATCCTCGGGCCGATCACCGCTTGACGCTAGTCAAGTTGAATGTATTTTGTGCCTTTGTGCGGAATATTACAGCGCTTGGATACACTCGAGAATAGATGATAGATGACCGATGACTCTCTCTGACGCTTTAGCGTTCAGGAGCCTCATCCGGCGTACCAGGATGGGGTGGCTATCCCGGCAAGTTTGCAACCTACGGCCTTACAACAGAAGCAGCCACATCATCCATGACTGGACTTCTTTCCCTTTGCCCGCCTCCGGGGTGATCTAATTCGACATGAAGATCTTATGGACGATTCTCAATTTTGTCGAGACCTGATGGGCTTCTGGACCATGCCGGACGAGGACAACTGTATAGAAGACCGGCTTGCCCCAGGATCTAACAATACAGCATTCGCAAGAAAATACACCAAATGGACCGGTATGCTTATGGTCGCCTACCACGACAACCAATAACGAACCTTTCTCCTTCTTTGTAAAAAAAAAAAAGAAAAAAGAAAGGAACCCCACCGGGAGCTCCGACGTTCGGTATCGAATCTCGGGTTCTCGCTGTACGGTACGGCCAATATAGTAGCTACAGTATTTAGCACTCAGCTATTTCAGTGGGGCGTTGCAAAAGTAAGGGGTTAAACTTGCTGATAGAGGGTTGTTTGCCATCCCGCTCCACCTATATACTAGTCGCTGTGCACGGGTATCTCCGCTAGCCTAGGTATTTAGACCCACTGCTAGCGCGTAATCAAGCCCCGCCCATGGACCCTCTAGCACTAAATGTCGAGACTCATTTGGGTATCGGGTTCAATTATGTAAGGACTTAGGCCGACAGCACTGGGGTAGTGGAAGTTATTTCTCCCAGACAAGGATACTCTACCTTGTCGATCTTGGCATATTCCACCAGGAAGCTTGTTTCGGATCTATGAACACCAGTGAGGCTAGTAACCAGCAAACTACATTCTCAGAAATCAAGAGATGCATTGACTAAACGGAGATGATGTGGTTATTGGATTTAGTAGTCCTAAGCAGCTGAGAGAGACCATGGATGTTATGAAAGGGGGTCCTCTTCCGCGGCAGGTTGTCGATGCATTGAACCAGGGATGGGAAGTCATTCGTGGAAAGGAGCTCCTGTACTGGCATCGATGTTTTTCTTCACTAAATAGAATGTCAGTTTCTCTGTTTGCATAAACCAGCCTTTAATCAAGGATCTATGGATTATGTGCCAAGTGAGACGGGGGTTCATTCAGAAGCAAATGGCGTCCTTTTTAAATGGACCTATCTAAACTCCCGGATCCCAATGAAGTTTTTTCGTGAGGATTCGCCGACCAACTACTGCACAAGCAGGTTTTGGCCCAAGCAAATCTACACATAGACTAGCCTGATCCCAGGCACACGTTTCTCCTCTCTGACGTGAGACTTCCGACAGGCGAAGAAGACTGAGAGAGACAAGAAAACTCTATTCCCCTGCGGAGGGAGAGCGGAATATATAGCATTGGAAGCTCTAAGAGGCTAGGGCTGCTAAGACGGGAATTCTACCAAGACATAATAGACTACCAGTAGCAGATTCACGATTCTTCTGCCACTTGCTTTGTCTTCAGTAAGTGATTGTGGTCCACATTTGACTAGGAATAAGGTAACACTTTTAGGCAAAGCAACTTGCCTACAACGCGTTCTTTAGATTCCGGCATTTGAATTTAGTTGCATTGTTGCTTGTTTCGAAAACCAGGAGTACACTTCGGGCGCAAGTGTCCAAGTGCGCATGGAAATAACGTGCATGAGGTATTTTTCCAGCAATGACGCGCAAGATAATTAGACTCGAGCGAAAAGATCACAAGAATATTCAACGCTTTCACGTCGCATTTCTGCTACCAACAACGCTAATTGCCGCCGATGCAAATGGGATATGAAAATAACAAAATCAAGCGAGGTATGATCACCGGAACCAGAAATGAGATAGCACGATCATTTGAATTTAACCATTGGCCTGGTCCCGGTACTCCTGGAAGCTCGATGGATGAGAAGAGCCGTCTCCGGCATTATCCTGTGCTTTGGCCTTCATATCCTGATCTTTTTTCTCACGGCCAATCTTCTCTTCCCACTTGCTTTCCTCGGCAGAAATCATGGCATGGAACCGGCCACCTTGTCCCCGAGAAAGATAAATGGGCTTTTCTTTGCGCTCAGCCACGCTCTCGGTCACGAGAACGAACTTCACGCTCGAGCCGGGGGCTTCGAACATAGCATCACTGAGAATTGTTTCCATTTCAGTGCGGAGCGCTCGTGCACCAGTGCCCATTGTAAAGGCATTGGCGGCGAGTTTGTGCAGTGCGGGGGTAGTGAAGCGCAACTCGACGCCCGAAAGGGAGAATAAAGTCGTGTATTGGGCTAGAAGGGAGTTGCGGGGTTCGGTGAGGATGCGTAGAAGTAAGGGTTGAGATAGGGTGGAGAGAGCGGCGGTGACTGGAATGCGCCCAATCAGCTCTGGGATAAATCCGTAGCTTTGCATATCTGCGGGTGTTAGGAGGTCAAGGGGGTTGAAGTAGGTGGGCTCGGCGCCAGAACCGGCTGGCGTTGCGGAGCTAAAGAACGGGAGATGCTTTTTGTACAGCGCTTCTTCTTCGGATCCGGGAAGGATTTGGAGTGGCTCGTTAGGAGAGGAATTTGGTGAGCCTGATCGATCCGCTGTGCTCGAGGGTGCCCGTACGGGTTGACCGAAGCCTATGGATCCGCGGGATATCCGGTCCATAATCATTTTGTGAAGTCCGACGAAGGCGCCAGAGAAGACGAACAGAATATTGTCCGTTCGAACATTGTAGACTTCACCCTTCGCAGCTGGGTTGCCTGGACTGTTATGTTGGAACGGCGAACTCCCCAATGGGCTGTTAGAAGGGTAGCTATTAGGAGGGCTAGTTGCGCGCGGGTTCTTCTCGGGCTTGGCTTGAACCTGTACAGTTGTACCCTCGATGATCTTGAGGAGTGCCTGCTGGACACCTTCGCCACCAACATCCTTGCCATGACTGACTTTAGCTGCGGCGATCTTATCCACCTCATCAAGGACAATGATACCACGCTCCGCCTGTTCCACATTGTAGTCTGCCGCTGCCAAAAGTCGGTGAATACACTGCTCAGCATCCTCTCCGATGTAGCCGGCCTGGGTAAACACGGTGCAGTCGGAGATGCTGAAAGGAACAGAGAGCACCCGGGCGAGTGTCTTCGCCATAAGTGTCTTTCCGACGCCGGACGGTCCCAATAGCAAGATATTGGACTTCTCCAGCTGTAGAGGCGATGTGTCGGTGAGTTCTGGGAGATCCAGGGGGGTGCTGCGATGCGGCTTTGGGGTCTGCGGTATCCCCACAGTCCTCTGCGGAACGGGGAACTCATCTGTGACCGAAATATATATAAGCAATTGAGAGCATCACATGCTCGGATGGGTTGTTACCTTCTAAGGGATGACTCTCAAGTGCTTCCCTCCGTTGACGCTTCGCGTGTGCCTCGGCTGCCTCTTCTTCGCGACGCAAGAGCTCTTGAACGCGCTGGTAGTGGTTGTAGACGGCGACACTGAGCACCTTCTTTGCGCGATCTTGGCCCACCACGTATTGATCCAGATACTGCTTCAGCACTTTCGGGGTAATACGCGGGGTGCCAAATGCCGGTGTTGATCCAAGCGGCCCGGTTGTTGGAAGCCCGGGCTCATAGCTGCCAGTGAAAGGCTGGCTCGTAAAATCTGACCGGTTAAATTGTGAACGGGTTGGGAACGTGGTTGAGCTGGACAACTGGCGTGTTGATCTGATGTATGAACTAGGAAGGCGCCGACATCGGACAACATCGAGCTGTGTCACGGCTGGAAGCCGACGCTGTACAGGCCTCCACAGCATTGCTGGGCGCCGGTGAGTATGATTTATGGACAACAGGGGAGGGAGGAATAACAAAGGAAGCAAGAGAGATGATTAGATAGCTTTCCCCGCAGGTGATCTTATCTGATGAGTCATCGGGCCGGTGAACCTGAACATTTCGGACCAACTCACTTTTTGACCGTATGACCGTCTCGACATAGATTCCCGGGTTTTCTCGCCTCTTTCTGTCGATCGAAGCTTGACCGGAGGCTGTGTTTGGAGATTCAGGTCTCCAACCTGCATTCTGGTTGCAAACCACTGCGCTAGAATCGAGACAATGATGTCATGAATCGATTTAGCACCAAATACGAACTGAATCTACCTTGCTCAGCCATGCTCTACTTGGCGTGACTTTATGTATATAAGACCCGTATTCACTCTGGCCGTGAGAACTATTTCCGAATATGGCAAGTCTCGTATCGGGCACTTGGGGATCGACTGAGCACCGCCCCGGATGCGAAGTATATAATTTCAGGGAGAAACCACGTAAAGGGCTTCAGTTATAGCCTTCAAGACATTGTCAATACTACATTTGATTATGCATAAACTGTTTATATTATACCTCTTTGCTAGCATTGCCAGCGCTGCACCTAGCACAAGTCATTGCCGCTGCCGACCGCATGAAAGCTGCTGGCCATCTAAGCAAAAATGGTCTGGCTTGAACGACACGATACAAGGAAACCTTATTGCCGTAAGGCCCGTCGCGTCGGTTTGCCATGCGGCAGAGTTTGATCAAGCAGCATGTAAGGATGTCACGAACAACTGGTCCGACTCCACCTGGCGAGCTGCTCAGCCCGGTGCTGGACAGTGGGAGAATTGGGAGGCTTGGCCAGAGCGACACCAAACCTGCTATATAGGGTCAGCCCAGAATACAGCCTGCGGTCAGGGTCGTATTTCGTTGTACTCTGCGAAGGTACAGACGGCTTCACATGTTCAGAAGGCTGTGCGGTTTGCGAGTACACATAACCTTCGACTCGCCATTAAGAATTCTGGTCATGACTTCCTAGGTCGTTCAACAGCCCCGGGGTCATTGCAGATTTTGACCAATGGTATGAAGGATATCAAGTTTGTTAGCAACTTTATGCCGGTTGGTGCGCCGAAGGGCAAGGGTGAGGGCAAAGCAGTCACTCTGTCGGCGGGCGTCAACCTGGCCGAACTTTACAAAGCAGTGGCAGAGCATAATGTGACTGTCATTGCGGGTGCTTCACACACTGTTGGTGCGGCCGGGGGGTATATTCAAGGTGGAGGTCATTCACCTTTTGGTGCCTGGAAGGGACTGGCATCTGACAATGCCCTTGAGTTCGAAGTTGTAACGGCTGATGTGAGTCAAACCCTCAAACTCCATAGCACCAAGGTGGACAAATAGCTGACCACCATTCTAGGGAAATCTCGTCACAGCAAATGCATATCAGAATAGTGACCTGTTCTGGGCCCTGCGAGGTGGCGGCGGAGGAACATTTGGAGTTGTGGTTAATGTCACTGTTCGGACGTTTCCAGAAGTCCCAGTCATAGTCGCCAATGTCAACATCACAACATCTGCAGGGGATCCTCAATTCTGGAACGCCCTCACCGAGTGGCACGCAGCACTTCCAGGCCTCAACAACGCCGGTGGTTCTGGGTACTATTTTGGAATCCCTGATATGCCTCTCAATGCGACGATCAGCGTTTCCAGCGTCATATCGTTGCTTATGTTCCCAGAACACACCGACACAAGCGCAATTGACAGACTGTATGCCCCATTGGTCAAAAGCCTGCAATCAATGCCTGGTGTGACAGTCCAGTATGGGGCCTTCGGTTTACCCACCATGAACTCAACGATTCAAACCATGCTCTTGGAAGGTAATGCCGACACCACAAGTGGAATGACAACACTGGTATCCCGTCTGTATTCCAAGGACCTCTTGCTATCCAAAGACGGACCGAGTCGACTGTCCAAGACGTGGAGTAGCCTCAGATTCGATCCCGGACAAACATTCATCGGTCATGTGGTTGCAGGGGGTGCAGTCGCAGCCAATGGCAACAAGATTGACAGTGCTGTTAACCCGGCTTGGAGGAAGGCCGTTGTGCACCTGCTGTATTCAAGAAGCTGGAATGCCACCACAACACTTGCACAGCAACATGCCATTATTAAGAATGCCACAGAGGTTGAAATCCCTCTCATTCGTTCCGTCGAGGGCGAGGACCAGATGGGTGCTTATCTCAACGAGGCGCATCCTTATGAGCCTGGTTTCCAGAGGTCGTTCTGGGGAGACAACTATCCTCGTTTGTACACCCTCAAGCAGAAATGGGATCCGAAAGGGCTTTTCATTGCTCGGAAAGGAGTAGGTAGTGAAGACTGGGATGATGCGGGGTTGTGTTTGAGCAACTAAGTCAAACGATTTAGTTACCGAGTATATATACAACAGGTGTCATAACTGTGTATACAGTGCCATGAAGTATTGGACAGTCTCTACAAAGCCTCAATGCGAGTAACTATGCCATTTCATGCGTTGTTTTTGCCCTTCTGGGGCTCTCTTTTTTTCACCTTTCTTTGCCCATTTCCTTGTGTCTCGGGTTCATTACGTAGATTGCCTAAAGGTGGGGATGTGGATGGACTTATGACCCTTTTCGTACATGTTGTCTAGGAAGGTATATAGCTGCAATATCCACGATTGACCAGATCGCAAAGTAGAAATACATCGATGCATGCTTTTATTCAATGAGGGGTATTTAATTATGCACAGTTGTCGAGATGAATTTGGTGGCGTCCGTCAGCCCTAAGGCTTCCAAGCTTGTGTCAGGCAATTTGGAGCGGGGTTCAGCAGTATAAAACGGCTTAAGTCGCAAACTCTTGGGGGCCAATCCGTTTCGACATTCGGTACTCACGCCCGAAGGTGGATTGTGTCGTGTTGGCCGTAACCACATACGAATGCTAGGCATTCGAATTTTGGTTTTTCGCTCGACAGCATTGCCGGTGCAGTTGACGCAGTCCAGTGCCGGTCTCGGTAGGCAGGATTCGATGACGAACGGCAATCACTCTGATGCTCAGTGAGCCAGGTCTGTTATTTAATGTCGAACGTGCCCGGTTCATTTCTTCGCCTGGAAAACGGGCTGCTGCTCCATCGTCTGCGAAATGAAGCTTCGGAGGGCAGACCACCGACCGGCGGTGGGATTCGACTCAGTTTGGGCAGCTGGAGTTGCCGAGATGGTTGACATGTCCGCCATGTTCTTGTTGAAACGTTCCCGCTCTGTTTTCTCCATGTTCTCTCGGCGCTTCAGGGCCCCCGGCTTGTGTCGCAGGGTCTTCTGCTTGATGATATTGGCTTGACTGGCGGCATCATTGGCTTCCTCTGCTTCGGGCAGGGCATCGGCCAGAGATTCGAGGTTGGCGACCAATTTCTTGTGTGCGCGTCGACGCTTTGGGGTCTTCTGGGAATCCTTCTCGATCTTCGACACGAGCGCGGCGTGTTTGATCTGCCGCTTGTCCCGCTTGTTGGTCCGGAAATCTTCACCGAACGCAGATGAGACTCTCCCCGAAGGCCTCGCGGGTTTAGCAGTCTTCGCCATTTTGGATTTGCGGATAGGAGCCTGTGGACGATAATTAACCGGGAAGTGGAACAGAAGAATTAATGCAGCTTACCATTTGCCATGTGAGATCTACCCAGACGAAAAACGGGAAAAGCGAACTGCCCGATTCTCTCCAAATCTGTTCACCGCCCGCTCCACCCTCCCCACCGTTTTTTCCAGGAACTCAACGCTGTTTGGCTCAACGTCATCTCTAGTGCAAAACCACAAGGAGAAGAACGCGTTTGTGACGTTATTCTGCTGAGTGATTTATTGCTTTCCGGGTGACGATCCACATACTTTTCGACGCACTTCCTCTGACATCAGTTTGCCTTATCAAACATAAGGCAAACCGGGAAAGTTTGAACTCATTGGGTGACTTGTATGGAGATTCGTTCCAGTCCCAACCTGCGTCGGATTTCCTTTCCTCACTTCTGTACCATTGTTACACCGAGGTCGCCGCTAGCCACCCGGTCCCAAATTCCCCGATTCATTCCACCCCGTCTGCCCCCGGCTCCTCTACCTTTTAAATCCACTATCCCAGGCCCTCTGACCCTTCGATCATTTGTTACCTCTACACACAACATGGGTTCTCTCGGTCCATTCCAGCGCAAGCACAAGCTCGCCGTGGTGGGCTCCGGCAACTGGTAAGGATCAAAAACTCTTCTCTGGGATGCAATCCAGGCTAACACTAGTCCTCGTGTGCAGGGGTACCGCCATTGCCAAGATTGTCGCCGAAAATGCTGCCAGCAACCCGGATCTCTTCGAAGAGACGGTGGAGATGTGGGTGTACGAGGAGACTGTCGAGGTCCCCAAGGACTCGAAGAATTATGACCCCTCATACGCCGGTCCTCAGAAGTTGACCGAGGTGATTAACCGTACCCATGAGAATATCAAATACCTTCCAGAAGTTCAGTTGCCAGTCAACTTGCACGCCAACCCGTCTCTGGAGGATACGGTTAAAGACGGCACCATTCTCATTTTCAACCTGCCCCATCAGTTCATCATCAAGACCTGCGAGCAGATCAAGGGTAAGATCCTGCCTTACGCCCGTGGTATCTCTTGTATCAAGGGTGTCGACGTCAACGAATCCGGTATCAACCTCTTCTCTGAGACCATTGGCAAGACCCTTGGCATCTACTGTGGTGCTCTTTCTGGTGCCAACATTGCCAATGAGGTTGCCCGGGAGAAGTGGTCCGAGACCAGCGTTGCGTACGACCCCCCACACATGGACTCCAAGGCGCCTACTCCCCAGCGTTCGCCTTCCTCCTCCCAGACCAACCTTGTGGAGTTCCAGCACAAGGATGTCTCCGGAAAGATATCAGATACCAAGCTGCAGGCTCTGCCATCAGCCTACCCACCTGTCGACCATGCCGTCCTCAAGGCTGTCTTCCACCGCCCATATTTCCACGTCCGTGTGGTCAACGATGTCGCTGGTGTGTCCATCAGTGGCGCTCTCAAGAACGTTGTTGCTCTGGCCGCTGGCTGGGTTGTCGGCATGGGCTGGGGTGACAACGCCAAGGCTGCCGTCATGCGTGTTGGTCTGATGGAGATGGTTAAGTTCGGTGACCAGTTCTTCAGCGCCACCATTGACCAGCGCACCTTCACCGACGAAAGTGCCGGTGTGGCTGATTTGATCACTAGCTGCAGCGGTGGCCGTAACTTCCGGTGTGCCATGCACAGCGTTGAACGCAATCTTCCTATCGAGGAGATTGAGAAGACCGAGCTCAATGGCCAGAAGCTGCAGGGTACCCTGACTGCTTACGAGGTCAACAGCTTCCTCAAGAACCAAGGCATGGAGGACCAGTTCCCTCTGTTCACTGCTGTTTACCGTAAGTGCCTTCCACCCTTGATACTCAGATCTCAGCTAACAATATGCAGGTATCTTGGAAGGAACCATGAAGGTTGAGGATATTCCCAACTTCATTGAGCGGTAAAATCCCTATTCAGGTCTTTCGTTTTTGTTTGTGTTGTTAATTAAACAATTTTGGCCCCGACAGCCCCCTTCAGGCCCGTACTCCGACTTCTGCTGAAAATTCGCATGGTGATGATGGCGCTCGGTTCACTGCTGCAAGATTATGATTTGGGCCAGGTTCGGCTTTGGACATTATAGACTTTCATGACCTGTACTTATGAACTTCATGTATCGATTTACTCTAGACATCTGATTGGAATGTTATTGAAAATTCCGCAGTTTACCCCCATATAGTTATCTCCATGTAGTCTATTCCCTGTCACCAGCTTTCGCTTTATGTCTGTATGCATGCATTGATATCGGTAAATACTATCACCCTATTGGTCCCTAAGCTCACTATATGGCCACGACAACCAATGACGAACCTCATAAAAAATAGGAAGAAAAGAAAAGAAGGCACCCGGCCGGAGCTCCGAGCGATTGCTAGGAATCAAATTTTCGCCCTCACTGTACGGTCAGTCCTAATGCAGAAAATGTGTTTGACCACTAGCCTATTCCAGCGGGGGGAAAAGGGGTGAAAAGTAAGGGTTAAACTGGTTGATAGACGTCTACGTACATCCTGTGCTGCTGCACATATCTAGTTATGCCAAGAAGAAGATGTGGTCTACATGAAACATTCGATCTATTTGACGGAACCGGTCATGGCCCCTGATCGTTCGTGAAACAACGGCTGGTCAATCTTCGACAATTTTGGATTGTTGATCCGCAGTTCAAACATGCTACAAAGATTCTAACTGACGAGAAGCTGTCAGACCCGCATTCCCTCGATATAACATATAAATACGTAGTAGCTAGCCGTAGCTATCTCTCATCTCTTTCTTCATCTCGTTTTGCATATATTTCCTTTTCTTTCCTTTTTTTTTGCTTTCCTTTTGCCCGTCGTTTCTACATCAATGCACAGATCTGTTCTATTGTCTGCCCTGGCGGCAGGCATGTCCAACGCCTATACAGTCACCGTTTCAGAGCTTTTGATGTTCAAGAATATAGACCCAATTGTATTGCCCGGACAATACAACAGTCATATGCACAGCATCTTTGGATCAGATGCAATCACAGTCAACACAACCAAGTCATCCGAGCTCCAAAAAGGCTGCTCAACAACTGTGAACCCGAATGACTTTTCAGCATACTGTAAGTCCATCCCTCAAAGCATCATACACAAACAGCTGGCTGACTAGTACAATATCAGGGGTTCCAACATTATACCTCGTACAAGATGAAGACAACACCCACATCCCAATCACACCAATGCGCTTCAGCGCATACTACGAGGGGCTAGAATCAGCCGAAATAGCCATCCCCCAAGACTACAAAGACGTAGCAGGCAATGCAACAGCAACATCCCAAGAGCATGTCGAGAAAAACGCCGGAATCAGCTGGTTCTGCGAAGGCGACGATACAGACGAGGACAAGGATGCCGCTGCCTTCCCGACGAAAACATGCTCAACCCACCTGCAGACACTCCTCCTCTTCCATGACTGCGTCAACCCGGATACCCTGGAATCTGCATACTCAGGAAACCCACGGGTAAACAGTGGATACGGAGAAAATTGGTGTCCAGCTGGTATGTCGCGTATGCCTCAGCTGCGCTTCTCTATCCGATATGATTTACGCAGTTTGCTTCCTAATGGCTGGTCTGGGCCTCCTCCTTTAGCACTTGCTTGTGGGACTTCTTATTGCTCGCATGGTGATTTCATCAATGGGTGGTTGCCTGAGGCTGCGGAGAATATGTTGCTGTCGCCTTCTAAGCGGGAGTATTTCGCTGTGGATGGGCCGCTGGGTGGTGCGAGTGATGGGTCTGTTTGTGGTGCTAAGAATGCACGAGATAGGGATCCCACGCATGGCACGAGCGATTATGTTGAGAGTTTGAAGATGATGAGCAGTGGGAGCATGAAGAAGACCAGGAGACATATGAGACATCGCCGGGCTTAGCGGGTTATTCATTAAGCGCCATTTGTGATTTATTCTCACTTAACCTAGTTAGGATTAAACAACGAGCTTTGGCATCTATTTCTTAAAGGTTTAACAGAGCTGTTAATTTCTTATTCGTCTGGTTTGGCATATCAACAACATTGCGATCTGCTTTCAAAAGGTGAAGATAGGGAGCATGTTAAGTATACTTATGTTCAGAAACAAGTTATTGCATAAATAAAATCTCTATAAAGGTCTAAAATAAATCAATCGCTTGTCTAAAGCTTCTCAAAAACGTCGACAACCAGTCTTAGCAGTAGAAGTTGCACTAGCAGGGTTCTAGGATTGACCTTGGAGTTGAATATAGCTGACTAGAGCTAGCGGGGACTATCATCTTAACCAGGGCATTGTCTCGCATTTGGGCACCAGCTAGTGGGTTAGGTTCCCCATAAATTGTTACTTTCAGCATTGGATGCGCCCCATTTTCGAAACGAAATTGCCAAGCGAGTATACTTCAATCAAGAATGTAAGTTTTACGTGTATCAAATGTGTCATGAAGTAGAATATTATTCGCTAAATGACCATAAGATAAGTTATCATCGTACTTACTCATACACAGCATAAAACTCAGACAGGGTATAATGAACAACAAGAAAATATTAACCACATAAGAAACAGAGGTCGTTGGACAATTGAATGAGAACTTAACGAAACTCAGCTCTTTGGAGCAAAGGGCTGGGCCGTTGCGCTAGCGGTGGCCTTGGTCTTCTCAGAAGACTGAGGGTGTTAATGCGCACTGCGAGAGGCGTCCTTGAGTGCGTGAGGGGATTGTGGGAATTCCCCAGCGGATTGAGTCGTTGGTCGAGGGGTAGGATTTGGAGGCCTGTGTAAAGCGTTGATCTCAGCCAGGATAGCTGCTCGGTCAACCTTGAATCTTTCGTAGAATCTTTCAAACCCATAGTCGATAGTTATGTGGCCCCATTCATCCCATCGCTTTTTTGACGCTGATATCTTGTAACGTGCGGATGTGATGGCGCTGAAATTCCGAAATCGGGCCATGGTGACCTTCGCCACGCCTGCCAGTATCTCAATGAGGTGACCCGCATCACGCTCTGACTTGTCTTTGATTGCCAAGTCGTTCTCTGTGAGGCTTACATAATGAAGGGGTGGAAGTGCGAGTACTGTGCTTGTTTCATTTTCAAGGCAGCTGAAAAAGTCCAGACTAGATGCGTTGAACACTTGAGTGGCAGAGACTAGGTTGTTTTTCACGATCAAGCTGTGGATAAGTAGCAAGCTGTTTTGGGAGTGTTTGGTTAGAACGTGATTCGAAAGAGCGCCAATGGGGGATTAACATACATATCATGGTCTTCTGAGTAAACCTCATCATCGAGCCTTTTCTTTATCCATTCAAGGATTCCAGGGAAGAAAACAAGCTTCCAGTATCTGGGCTTGCCTCTATGGCGCCGGTAAATCCAGCGAAGAGTGATAGCAACCTCGAGGAGGTTGCTCATCACATCTTCGGTGAGAAGAATCATGCCAGTACCTTGGGGAAAGATCCGTTGGGCGTAACTGCCAGATACAGTGGATTCCGGGTCAGTGGATCCCGGGGCAGTCAGTTCCAGTGGGCGAGAGACGCGAACGATCCAGAAACTGAAAGTTTTCTTGTTCACAAGGGCGATAGGTGGCTGCAACGATTCGTATTCATGGAATGACTCGTGGAACTGTAATGATAGTTAGCTGTTTCAGCTCCCTTCAATATTCTGGCGTCAAAAAACATACAATAGCCACCCCTTGATCGGGGTCATTCACAAATGAGGCCCAATGATTTGGGGTTTGATTTGTGAAAATAATGACTCCGTGTTGTACGTATACCGCCTTCATGTATTCCAAGTCGAGTATGGCCTCCTGATTATCCAGAGGAAAGTGAAGATAAAATTTCCCTGCTCTCGACATCTTCCCATTGTCATCAATTACGGCAAGATCATCTGGGTTGAGTCTCGCCTTCGTGATGTGTTCACGCAGGGCATTCGATAGGGCTGTGGTCAGGTCGTCTGTGCCTCTAACCGAAACATCCACGTCACCTTTTGGGCCGATCGGTGTAAATTGATCCTGCGAGCCCTCACGTACGGGTAAAAGCAGACCGCGACATCGTCGAGCGCCCAGAGCGACTATCGGCAAAAGGTTATTGAATGCCGTGAGAAGGAGGGGGACTCCACTTGGTGCATCCCAAATGTGACCCTTTCTAATCCAACTGGACCAGTCGGTATTTTGGGAGTAGCGAGATGAGGCAACATAGGCAAATTTGCCCCCATTCTGCGGATAGTAGATAGCCACAAGGTCATTTTCGCGCAAATGTTCTGCCATTTGGAGCAGTTGGCTGTTGGTCCCATTGAAGCCCTCAATCCATCCAGTACGCCTAACGACCTGGTTTTCAAACAGTCAGTCAGCGATATAACTCCCAATACAGTGCAGTACACTGAAGACTCACCGTGGGTTCAAATTGCTCAGATAGCGTGAGTTGACGCAACTGAGTGAATTCATCAGTCGTGCACAAATGTTCAAAGTAAACCTGAAGTTCCCGATCTCCAGGGGGCTTATTCCGGATCAGATCTTGAGACTCTGCTGGCATGCCACAAACCCTTGTGGGTCCAATGAACTTCTTATCTGGTCCAAAGGACATCGTCATTAGAGTCTCTTTAGGGTTAAACCAGAACCCATTTGGGAGTTTGCGTGCACTGGGTCCTGGAATGCGTCTGGGCATTTGGGCAAGCTGAGATTCCATAGAGAGATCACCCGAACTTGGTGCTCTAGGGCGAGGATCTGCAGAATTAGGAACCCGAGCATTGGGTGCTGGAGTGCGCCTGGGCATTTGGACAAGCTGCGATTCCATGGAGTGATCACCCGAACTTGGTGGTCCTGGGCCAGGATCTGCAGGATTAGCAGCTCGAGCATTGACCCTGGAGTTCTCCACAACGGCCGTGGCGTTGGACCGCTTTGCCACGAGAGAAACATCAGGAGACCGGGAACGAGCACGAGGCCTGGTTGGACTCTCCCGTCGAGAGTAGACTGACGAAGGTCGGTTATCGCCTTGGTCCGGAGAGCGACGCGACCTTGACAGCCCAAGCCTATAACGAATAGTCTGCGCGCGGGGCTCACTGGAACCTTTGACTGGGTCTTCTGTTGGAAGCGATGGGCCGGAACGCCTGGCTTTCCTCCCAGGTGGAGGTGGAGAGTTGAGGCCTGCGGTGAATGGCAATGTGATGAGATCTATATGGGCTCTTCCTGTCCTATCCGGGTATTGAGAAGGTCTGATTAAATCCAGCTTTGCGATATCTGGGACTCTTTCTCCAAAGATGTGTGAACGATACCCGGCTTTGGCCGCTTTCCCCCCTGTTGCAAAGCCCGACGGTGCCGGTCTGGGGTTTTGAATTGCCGCAATAGGTGGCTCTCGAGGTGTTTCAAGCCTCCGCCTCTTATCCCTGCTGTCCACAGCTTTGGTCAGATTTGCATATGGCGACTTATCCGCCTGCCCAATGGGCGCATCTGACGTTTGAAGCCCCCATTTGGGTAAGGGTTGGTTTGCTCCCGACTTTTTGGAAGTTGGAGATGTCTTTTGTGAAATAACTTGTGTTGACGGTATGGCATTCGTGGCCAAGGGGGGGATTTTTGGTTTGTGGGTTGGTTTGCGGGGATCAACGAGACCTCGAGAGGATGATCCTCCCGATATGCGCTTTTCTCGTCTTTGCCGCCGGTCTTCACGAAATTCATTTATTGCCGTGCAATGCGTTTCCCACGACCTAAGGTCGAAGGGCTGCTGCTTTCCTGACGCGATATCCTTCTTCTTCCTTTCCCAATCCTCCAGGGTCCCCTCTTCATCATCAAACATATCGACGGGTTCCCATGTAGCTCGTTCGGCAGGATATTCAGCCCACTTGACAAGGTATTGGGTTTGACCTTCAAATACACGCTCCATGTAAATAGTCTCGACGTAGTACGACTTGTCCTCATCCTGGTCACTTTCAACTGAAGATGCCAGAGAATCCCACTCCCCATCAGGGTCGTTGTCGGACGTGTCGTTCAACACGTCATCAGATGCCATGGCAATACCACAGATTCATCAGATACATCAGCAATAATCAAATGGCCAGGCTGAATGCCAATTTGGTGATGCTGCTAGTGTGCAGACTAACAGCCTGGAATGAAAACTTGCGTAACAAAAAGACAGAGCAGTGCAGTAGACAGAGTCCAACGTGGGGTGGGAGGACGAAGGATGAAAGAGGAAAAAAGAGGAAATAGAAACAAAAGAGTCGACGTGAACCTGCTAGCGTATGTAGCAACAGCCTGGAGCAACGGCCTAAATGAAAACTTGCACCACAAATTGATAGAGCACTGTAGTGGTCAAGGTCCAAAGATGAAACGTAAGGAGAAAAGTGAGAGGAGAAGATAAAAGAGAAAGAAATAGGAAAGAAAGTGTCAACACGAAGTCCAAGCAATGAGCCAAGTTGACCGATCAGGTAGTTCTGGTAGCATTTCAGGCTGTTGCCAGACAGTTTGACATGAAAATATATGTAACAAAAGGGCAGAGCAATCCACTGGACAATAGTCCAAAGTGAAGCTGAAGCTATCTACTATATTGCCGATAGCACAGACCGCCCGCGATAAAACCCAAGATCACATGATCCGCTAAGACGGGCTCGGCATTAAGGAGAGGCCAAAGACATCACTCCTCTACTGATTCTCATTGCTTTTTGTGTGTGCTCCCCTTTATTTGCTTCTGCCTGCAGGCTTAGTGCTGACGTATCTACTTCACTCTCAAGTCCTTCTTTCTAGTCTTCACCTATCCCGCCACCTTTACCCTTCAATATCACCCCTCGGGCTTGAGCTAGATCACATTCAAAATGGCCAACGACGAATATGACGTGAGTTGACTCAGACCATTTTTGTCTCTTGTATCAACGTACTGATGATATTCCCACATAGTTCCTATTCAAAGGTAACGTTGCCACCTTATGCTGATGCCCGCCTTCCTATTATCCGCCCCTTGTCCCGAAAATCGCGAGACTGACAGTGGACATATTGTTGTGGTGAATAGTGGTGCTTATCGGAGACTCTGGTGTTGGTAAATCCAACCTGTTGAGTCGTTTCACCCGCAACGAGTTCAACTTGGACTCCAAGTCAACGATCGGTGTGGAGTTCGCGACCCGTTCTATTCAAGTCGACTCGAAGACAATCAAGGCACAGATCTGGGATACCGCTGGTCAGGAGCGCTACCGTGCCATTACCTCTGCCTACTACCGCGGCGCTGTCGGTGCCCTCCTCGTGTACGATATCAGCAAGCACCAGACCTACGAGAATGTCAACCGGTGGTTGAAGGAGCTCCGGGACCACGCCGACTCCAACATTGTTATCATGCTTGTCGGTAACAAGAGCGATTTGCGCCACCTGCGTGCGGTCCCTACTGAGGAGGCCAAGCAGTTCGCTAGTGCGTTCCTAGATAATACGTATTCTTGAATATGTGGCGCTGACAACCAACAGGCGAGAACAACCTCTCATTCATTGAAACCTCCGCCCTCGATGCTAGCAATGTTGAGCTGGCCTTCCAAAACATCCTCACAGGTAGGTGGCCTGTTCTCCCAATTGTTGCCTTCCAGTTCTCACCCCTCCAGAAATCTACCGCATCGTTTCCAGCAAGGCCCTCGACTCCGGGGAGGGTGGCTCTAACCAGGTCGGCGACCGCCGTCCCGTCATCGACTTCACCCCGCAGGACACCGAGCAGAAGCAGGGCTGCTGCTAGTTTCACTCTTCGCGAGGACGACGCACCGACCGCCACGACTCTTCTTTTTGCGATGTGATATTGAGATGGTCTTGATCTGTGCTGGAGTCTGGAATTCGACGGCTACAAAGATAATACACAGGCGGGATCTGGTAGAGAAACTATTTGGGAAGATAGGGGTCTTCAAGAACTGATGTACCCGGCTGTTGGTTCCCTTCTCCCGCTTTCTTTTTTTCTTTTGTTAACTTCTTTCTCGTCGTCAACGAAATTGATCCCCTTTTTTTTTACCTTTTTGCGCGACCGGTGTGCTTCATTTGTTTCTACGTTGTGTCGCCGCAGTTTGCTGGTGCAATGAACTTTGGCGTCTACCATTGCGGCTGCATGTTCTTTGTATGAAAGTTCCGAAAATCAGTATATTCTTTCCCGTACTTTCTGGTAGTCTGATGGAAGTAATGTGTTCCTAGAGCTTCGGGCCCACATGCTCCACATGGCAATTTACTTGTCCGGCCTGGCCTTTTATAGTGCGGTAATAATAATTAGCGCCTATAGAGTAGGGCCTGGGAGAGTAGATCGTCATTTATGGCAAGATCAACAGTGGGCTGATCTCTTCGGAGAACAAATCAGGTGTAGTCACGAACCCCTATACGACAATGTCCACGCTGTTTGGGCTATCAATTACCTGTTAGGTCAAGAAAAGAACACATATGGACCCGCAAATGGAAACTCCAGAACGAAACAAATACAGAAAGTTAACACTAGCCACATAACGTTATGTCTAATCAAGCACTATGCCCATGTCACGATCAACAACTGCGGACCGCAACTCTCCAGCATCGAGACCGCGCTCATTCATGACATACTCCAATGTATCACCAAATGTCTCGCCATTATCGCGGAACCAATCACCCAGGGAACATACATACTCCTCCACCTGCTCCTTCAAGAGAGCATGATCTCGCAACCATAAAATCTGACCAGGATCAAGCTTCATCATGTCCTGGATGATGTAGTAATGCGGGATCTCGTCTCCCCAGCCCTCAGACCCGGGGTCATGGGAAAGATCATTGCGAAACCGAGACCTGTATTTGGCTGGCGAGTCGGTGAAATTGCTCGGGTGGGCAACATGGAAATATTGCTGCAGTGAAGATCCCGGGGCCTTTCCAAACGACGACTGATTCTCCAACGAGAACGTATTTGATGGTGGAGGATAATTCAGATGGATGTTGAACGAGAGCTGATGATTGCTCTCTGGATAACGCTTACGGAACTTGCGTTGAATAGTCCCATTGCTAGGACAGATATGGTTCTGCACAACGTCACTCATGACAAGACGAAGGTCTTCAATCTCGGCCAGCTCCTGGGTCGACCAGTTATGAAGTAGCTGGGCCCGTTCCAAGACTACATGGCGAATATTGCGAGAATGCCGGTCATAAGCACGAGAATGGAATGCATTGTGGTATAACCATAATCGGTACACCGCGCGGCGCACACGCAATCGCTCTTGATCGGTGAGAGAGCGGCGATTCTCATAGTCAGATTTCCACTTCTTGAATGGGAAGACGGCCTCCCATTTCTGTGCTACCAGGCCTATCTGGATGACTTGTTTCAGGAGGGCATCAGACATAGACGCATGTCGGATGTGATGAGCTGGCTGGCTGTCGTTTTGCGTCACCACTTGGATGATATCATTGAGGGGCCCGAATTGGGTCTCGGCGACACTGGCTAGGATTTGCTGTTTGTTTGACGATTTGAGAACGCGATGGAGTCGACGACAACTTGCCGACAAGTTGAAAACATCAGAGACTGAGTCGCACGATCGAAATATTTGGAGCAGAAGCTCCGTTGCAAGATGTTCAACTTTCATGATCGTCTGTGTTGATTCTGGGAATACATGACCCATTAGAATGACTCACATGGGAAATAAACCACATATTGTAGACGAGTTACCTTTTAGAGGGTCTTTGTATCAGGATGGTAGATTTTGATGGAAGGATAAGAGAACGTCTCTCGAGACTTAGGTCTGGATCAGATTGGACAGTGTTGTTGCGAATTGATGTAACAACAGTCGCGTGTAGGTTGGGTCTACAGGAGGTGTACCCCGGCGTTGGGGCTGGTGAAAACAACAGACATGGATTGAAGCGCAGACATATTGAGATAGTGACCTTCTTTCAGCCACAGAGGGCTATTCAGCGAAATCGATGCCATGATAGATGGTGTCAAAAGGAGACTGGGATGACGGGGGTTGTGTTAGCGGGTCGCGATCTCTATATGGAGCTTAGCTAATCTCGCCCCTTGCATCCAGGGATCAACTACTTCTCAAACGCAAAGGCTTGAAATCGTTTGGAACCAGCGAAATGCATTGCAAAGAAGGATGGAAATAATCAACTTTTGAAATTAACCAGGATGAGACATTGCCCCGACGCCTTAACGGACCATGGATGAGAGCGTCGCATCAAATATACACATGTAGTCGAAACATCATCCCGAGGGATATCAAGTCTAGAAACAGCACGACGAAACAAAAACACAGAACCCTTATGCAAATAGCTTCCTTGTGTCCAAGGCATCCTGCTTCCGCTCAGAGTTGTCGGACAGACCCAGACCAGAGCGCTTGGCCACCCGGTCGGTCTGGACATCTCGGCGCTGGGAGTAGCGACCAGCCTTGCCCATGCGGACCTCACGACGGACCTGGTTGGGGCTGACGTATTCCTTATTCTCGTAGATGACCGGTCCACCGAAGCTGCCCTCCAGAATGACAATGGGGGTCAAGACAAAGCGGGGACCGATCTCGACCAGGGAAACCTCGGGCTGACCGTCCTTGCCCTTGGGTGCGGCCTTGGTCTCCTCGCCTTCCTTCTTCTTGCCAGCCTCTGACTCGCGGATCTCGTAAACGCGAATCCAAATCTTGCCATCCACGCCGAAGATACCGATAATGCGATCGACGAAAGGCTTCATGCCTCGGACACCACGCTTGGGGACACAGAAAACTCCCCGCAACATCTCTCGGACAAGCGCCCGGTATTCACTGCCAGCAACGCCCATATCGGGGCCTTGTTCGTCGAAGGACCGGTCAAACACGACCAGGCCGCGACCACCCTTGAGGCAGTTTCCTGCGAATCCTGCGCCGAGCTCTCCCATTGTGTGCAAGTTGTTGAGGTGGAACTTAATTGTGGGTCCGTTAGGAGGACGTGACAGCCAGAGGTAGAGATCCTGGCCATTCTTCTTGGCCTCGAGAAAGAAGATGACATTGCATGAGTGCAGGTCGGCGAGGGAGTTGAGAAGGAGGTTGTAGCCAGCTGTCTTCTTTTTCGTATCGAGCTTGGTCTCTTTGTGGGTGTGAGGAAGGAGGCCGCAGATATCTGACATCAAGTGACGGTGGCTGAATGCAATTGTCACGGATCAGTAAAACGATTTAGCATTCTTCTCAAATCGCGATGTCCTTACCGGTATGAAGCACCCCTCGAAGTTAGAATGAGTACCCGGGTCTTAGGCATAAATCCAGAGGCAAGTTGCTTCTTTGCTTCCTCGATTCCCTCATCCTCTTCTTCCTCCTCGCTATCGGTGGTGTCGTCCTCCGCAGCGAGGAGCTCCTCCATCTGAATGTCCTCGTCGTCCAGCTCCTCCATTGGCTGTTGAGCCTTCTTCTTTGAGACAGTCTTGTAAACAGCGGCCATGGCGACTGCAATTTGTGTGAAATTTGGATTGAAATAGGTTGTGCAAAACTAGCCCGAAATCGAAAAGTTGATGGCAGAATATTTTTTGTTCGTCACCGCCATTGGAGATCGAAGATCACGTGTTGCGTAGGAAGTTTTCCTTGCCTGTCCATCTGCCGCTTGCCACCGCCTGCAGGTCTTCGACGAGATTAACATCCCATGCCTACCCACTTATGTGGGCCTATTGCCCTCAGAAATGTGTGAATATTCTTGTTTTCTTGGCATCTGTAAGATAGCCGACACTGCTGTGGTTCTATATGAAATTCAATTCGTGCTTGGATGGTGCAACACTAGATTTTCATGATTACTATTTGCTCCCGAGAATATATCGTCGTCCAGTAGTTGGGCTGAACACAAATCAGTTGTTATTCCGAGTACAAATCTAAAGCTTTATACTACAGAAGCGCTCCGTTCAACCCCTATGGAGGCTAAGAACATGACCTCTCAATATAATTGAGAGTCCAATGCCCTATGTAGATATGAAAACCCCTCCTGTGTCACCTTGAGACCTGCAAGGTAGTTTGCAAACTTAAGCCTTCTTTCAAAGTCCCAATCTTTGCCACGGTAAATTAGGCCATATAAAATCCCTGCAATGAAGGTATCTCCAGCTCCGATAGTGCTATACATAGTTTATTAGTATGGCTTTTTAAATATGATATCCTTATCTTACTCCGCAATCCGCATGTTTCCCTCAGTATATGCCGGGACATGAAGTATATCGCCAGTCTGTTTTTCAAATGCTGCAGCACCGGCATCTCCCCAAGTGCAAAACAGCAACGATCTGCATGAACGAGGGTTATCAAATTGCATTTCTCAAAGACATCCATGTATACGAAGTTGCAGCTTACGCTTGGCATGCTTTCAATGATTGCAGTTTCAAACATTCCTGGGCGGAAGTATAACCTTTGTTCTGCTTGGACATTAGCTGTGCGTTTGAAGACGCCCCAAACAAATGTTCTCACCTGCGCCCAGCCTTTTGAATAGAACACAACGTCTGCTGTCCCAGCAAGTTCCTGCAAGCCGGGCCGCCCTGGCTTTTCCACCTCAACACTGATTCGGGCTCCAGGGAAATGGTCGCGGATATATTTAATGCATTCAGTTGTCACGTCTGGCATACGACCCTTTCGAATCGTTAGTACCCAATGTGGCCGATCGAGATCCAATGAAGACAACCCAGTATATACCGAACATACCTCAAAGTGAAACCAGGGCTGACCAGATACCTTACGCAGATTCTCGACTGCAATTATGAATTCCTGAAGAGTCATGTCCGGCAGCTCATTATGATTGAAAATTGTTCTGCTGCCAGTGTTTTGGCTCTTGATGATATAGCTGGACGCTGGCTCGTCGAATTGTTCTCGGTAAATACAGTGGTCCAACTGGACCTGATCACCAAGACCTATTTTAATCAGCTTAGATGCTGCCGACGATCTGGAAGGGAGAACAGTGATTAGATTCAAATTCAAAGATGACTCGTCGTTGGATGATCCGCGTGGTACTAATTGCCCTAGAACCTCGAGTGTGTTTGGGCAATTCCCTCCCCGACGACGGTCAATAGTTGAAGCCCGAAGCTTCTCATCTTCACTGGGGTAATGAGGCACTCTAATAAGTTAAGTGTTAAATTACTAAATGAGTTTATGGTGTGTGGTGAAGTAGGGCAGAAACTGACGTTAAAATTGTATCGAAATAGCATGCTCCTGTCGCTACAAGAGTCATAATGGGAGCTCTGATATGTCTGGGCAGCGTTTGGCCTTGCGTCAAGGTATCAACAAGCTGTTGATAGAGTCGAAAGATGTCCATCTAGGATATTATGTGGGGCATCGCGTGATTTATACAGACAGATCACGTGCCAATATCCAAAGTGGAGCCCTACCTTCCTAATCTGGATGGCAAACGACCCCCTCTATCAACAAGTTTAACCCTTACTTTTGCAGGTTCCCCTGGTACGACGGGCCTATTATTCCCGTAGTCACCACCGTCTAGTGAGATCTCCTTCCCTATGATTACTTGGAAAGTTACCTGGTATGACTGAAGAATCCCTATGCTTCCATTCGTAAATAGCAAAGAAGTGGAAAATAGGTGATAAAAGATAAAACAAGGGTCGACCAAAGAAAAGCAAACATAATAAATTGAAAGACATCGAAACAATGTAAGCAACAATATGTTACGGAGATGCTTATGTCTGGTATGATTTATTTCTATTTGAATGGGCGAGGCTATCTAGAGATTGCCCGGATACACTATAGATGGCACTGTAGATTGTCCCGGCACCCTGAAATGCTTAATGTTATGGTTTCATGGTTGTTTAGGTACGTTTAATGACATGTCTATTAAGCGAAAAATGGCGAATGCTTTCTGCCATCTCTTGTATACCAACATTTCTCGTGGTTTGCTTTGACATGACAGCTATTTGTTAGTACGTTGCAAATTTCCTAAAAGTGACCCTAGACACTCAAATATCCGGGGATGTGATTTAGCGAGGTTTCATAGGGCCTAGTGTTTTCCTGCAGACATTTTTGTTGACTTACAACTGTCAATCTGTTGATGCGGATAGACTAGGGTAATCATCGACACGTGGGAGCACGTGCCCATCTATACTTTAATACGACGACCTCCATTATGGAGGGGCTTCATGTCTTTCAATGTCAATTTTGAAAGGACGTGCTACACAATAGAACAACTCAGAGTTCTCTTTCTCTTAATTCATCGTTCAATGGCATGCTTCATTGCGATATCCCACTAGAGGTATACAAAGAAGCAAGCAGGCTGCCGTGGTGAAGAAGACAAACCATCTCATAGATACATTATTGGAGCCATGAAGAGTATTAAGTCCAGATCTTTGGAATTCCTTTGATACAATACAAAGCAACCACAGATGTATTCAACAAACATTTTGTATGTTCAAATAATTAATAAATCTTCAGTCTGTTATATATTTGGCTTAATGTTCATCAAGTATTAGTTCCATTCTCATAGCATCCTCCAATCACTGGAATAATCTGCAAAGATGGGCCAGCGTCATAAGGTCTTAGAGACTGACAACCCAACCGCAAAGTTTCTCTACACTATCATCAAGCAATTAGACTTGAAATCGGTGCGCTTCTGTCAACATATCGCTCTAGTATTCAAGAACAGTTCTAATCATCTCAAGGGGTATAGATCAACTGGAATCGTGTTGCCTCCGATCTTGAGATATCAAATGGTCATGCTGCTCGCATGCGATATTCCCGTTTTCGACAACAGATGGATGGAACTACAGGAGTGACCAGGGCAAAAAGAAAGTCGAAGAAAGGCAAAGCGGTGGAACCACCACCTGAAATGCAAGCAGTTTCCCCAATGGACCTATCTATGATGCCCAAGATGGAGCCCGTGGACTCATCCTTGCACAGCACTCCGTTTTTCAAAAGCGAGTCGAGAATCCAAGGGTACCCAAGCACGCAGGAGTTTGCGAATTATCCTCCCCAGTCAATGCCCGACAACAGTATACAGTCGTACCTCTACCTGCCACAAGACTTTGCATCAAGGGGGTTCCAATATGCGTCGAGAATGCCATCTGGCCTACCATTGGTCAGCTCGGGGACATCCTTCATGAACCCATACCAATCTCCGGAAATTTCAACCAGCTATCCATATGTATTGACAACAGGACAAACAGACTTTGACACGCAGGATTTTGGAATGCAGCTGCCCTTATCTAGCTTTGGTCCAACCATCAGTTGGGAGCCCCGGCCGTCTTCTCATGAAGGTCTTGACATGGTGAAACTCGAAGAAGGGCAATCGAGTAAGGCGAGAGCCTTGGATCTCGGCGACCAGCTTGGCAAACTGCCCATTCAAGCCGTCGACCGTTCCATGGACGATGTTATTGATCTTCCTGACCACCACACTCAAACTCAACATCCCATTCACCATCCCGCTCAAAGCTTTACCAACCGTCAAGTCAACCCAACTGCTCACCACCAGGTGCAAAGAATTGTTGATCGCTACCTTGATCACGCTCAACAGCAGATCCAAAACACCACTGAACCCCACGCTCAATATCCCAGTCAGCGCCCCGCCCAAAACCAGAATAATCGTCACGTCGATCTACCCGCTCAACTCCAGGCTCAACAGATGGCTGATCACAATCCTCATCTCATTCAAGAGCAGGCCGAGGAAATCGGTGGCAACCGGGTTGACACCCCAGATCAACAGCAAACTCAACCTATGGCTCAAAATCCGGCTCCAAGTCCTGTCAAACACTCAGTTGACCAGTCCGCTAAGCAACCCGTTCGGACACCTGATCCGCGACCTGTTGAGATGTCCGTTCCAATAACCTCTCAACAGCCTCTTCTGGAGCTTGCTAAACCTGTCCAGCAAGCCGTTCAGCAACATATTCGGCAGCCTGCTCAGACACCAGACCAGAATTCCACCCAGAAAGTAGCTCAGTACGCACTTCAACAACTCGTCCAGCAGCCCGTTCAAACACCCACTCAAGGACCTGCTCAGAACCCTGCTCAAAACCCTGCTCAACACCCTGCTCAACACCCTGCTCAAGAAATCGTCGATGAGGAAATTGACTACCCCTTCCGATACACAGTTCAACAGTCAGGCCAAAACGCTGTAGGTGGGCCTGTTGAAAACCCCGTTGATTGTCGGAGCGATGAGTCCAACTATCAACCGTGTCAGCCAACAGAGCAGGGACCGAAAGAACAGAGGGCAGTCGTCCAACTTGAGACAACGCAAGATTGAGCAAGCCTCGGAGACTCAGATGTGGTTCAAGGCGCAGCAGATTCGGTATTTCTATGATTATTAAGGGATTTGGTTCACTGACAGATCATTGAGTATGATAATCCCTTGCTGTAAGAAATTTACTTTACTTTTCTTTTCTTTTCTTTCTTGTTTTGGAAAAGCTAGATCGTTCTTCGTTGTACTCAATCTTTTATGCAATAGAATGTCATATTCTCTAATTATCGGCCATTTCTATCCAACAAAGTTGAGCGCCTACAGGTAGTATTCACTTGAGGCTGGTAAATTATAGCCAAAGTAAAGGTCAGTGCTAAAGGTTGTGAAGATATGAATGCCAATGTAAAGCTTTCGAAAGCGGCCCTGTCAAATTCAGAAAATTAAAGCAGGAACCACGAAGTCCTGCTGGGAAACAATGGTAGTCCCAAGCTGTAATGTATTCCCACCGTATGCACATGAGAGACCCAAAATCATGTCCTGGCCGGGTGTTGGCGGGTACCAATTGACGCTAGCTTTCTTTTCTCTGCGGATGGAGGATGCGAGGATGGCATTTTCGTTCGAATCTGAGGATCAAATGAATGCAAGGTACCTGTTGATATGTTCCCGTTGTCCTCAATATGGCAAGATCATCCGGGTTTGGGTTCAACACCGTAAAGTGTCCACGCGGCTGATGCATTAACTCTGGTTGCCTAGACTCTGTCTCTAAAGGGAATTGGAGTATCCAGGGCGCCCTTACCTGGCTCGAATAGCAGCGGCGGGAACCAGTCCGTAACAACAGAAAAACCACAAAAAATCACCAAGAATGAGCAGGGTCACAAAGAAAGCGCATGTCGTGCGTAGGGCAAGAATGCGAACCGAAAACCACTTAGTACTTATTATCACCCTCAGCTTTTTGAGCGACATCTGCTAGAGAAGATTGACGTCGGCCTACCACCATGGGAATCTCAGGATCTGGCCCGTATTGTTCGAAGAGGAACACGCAGGCAGCCCTGGTTGCGAGTTGTCAGTTATAGTATTGGGGTAGATAGATAGAGTTATGAGGGGAGGGCATACCCGTCGGCCTTGCTCATATCGCAAAGAGCATTGGCGACGGGCTCATGGACGAGCTGATAGACGGGGCGTATCAGCATGTATACCAATCATATAGTCGTGGAGTAGGACGCCCGCGAGAGAAAGAGCCTACGCGCTTGCACGACAAGATTGAACGATGTGATTGCATGACGAGAAACGATTGTAACGATAGGCAACGATTGCCACGATGCGAGGCGAAACGATAGTAGGTAAAACGATACACAGTAAGAAAAACGACTGCACGGTGTAAAACGAAAGGAAACGAGGCGAAGTGAAAGGACCGAAGTGAAAAGAGATGCAAAACAATTGTACAGGCGAAACGAAACAATGCCATTGCACGATGCGGCGGAGGGTGTCACCAACCTTGAGCTCAGGGGAGAAATAAATGCAGTTTAGCAGGAATTGGGAGGTCTGCCTTCCCCCAGGGAGGCATCTTGTTGGCCATTCTGAGATTCAGGGCCAGAAAGAAAGGCTTTAGGAGAGTTTAAGCTCGTGAGGCGATTAAGACGAAAAGGAAAAGAAGAAGATACGAAAGTGCAAAGAGGAAGAAGCACTCCTAGGGATCAGGGCAAGCAAACAAAGGGGGTCTGATCTCTGAAGCAAGTATGTCATGCCAATAAATAATGTCTCTAGGGTATCGACGCGAACAAATCTTAAGGTACAAATGGTATATGCTGAGACGTGTTAAAATATCAGACATGCAGCTAAAGAATGTAACGTGATTGAATATCAAAGGGGTATCCTAGACATAAAACAGTCGCGATCCGACCTCTACAAACCTGGAGCTAAGCCAGGATGACGAGAGGTGACATAAGAGACAACACGAGTATCAAAGCTCAAAAAGAGAAAAGAGAAACGGAAGGTTCCCCCCACCGGGAGCTCCGCAGTGAGTGCTAGGAACCGAACTCGGGCTCAACACTGTATGGGTTGGCCTAAACAGTAACTGTAGTGTTTCACCACTAGATAATTTCAGCGGGATAAGGGTTAAACTTGTTGATAGAGAGCTGCTTTCCATTTCCCGGTTAGGAACATGGATACCTGATCAACCAGGTTTGCCACCTGGTTTCTCACTTAACTTGGTGTGCGTCGATCAAAGAAAATGCGGCAATGCTCAGAAAATGGATATCATGAAAAGATAAAAACAGAGGCTAGAACCGCGCCTATGCTTCTATTGGTTAGCGTCAGATGTCTGCCATGACGGATTCGACGATCTTTCGCTTGTAGCTGGATAAAGCCCGGTCCCTTTTCTGCATCTGTGCCCGGAGCTTCGAGTAACGCTGTTTCCAGGTCGCTTCGGACACAGGATAATTGAGATCATCATCCTCATCCAGATCAGGGTTCGCCATGCTGCTGCTGTTGTCGATCATGTGATGACCAGAAGCCATGCCTGTACTTTCCAGATCGGCTGTAACCATAGTCTCAAAACTACGGTCAATGTTTCCAAGTGTAATTTGCATCGAGAACTGGCCGGAAGTTTTGTGATCGTGGGAGATGGAGTAATTGAAACCAGCTGCATCTCGGCTTCCATCGGAGTTTGTCATGGCACGTTCAGTCCTCACCACCATGGAACCTGGATTGCTACCAGGGAACCCAAAGTGGTGTCCAACGCCAAGGTGGAAGGCCATGATCGAAGGAGGCATGTCAATTTGACTATGTGAATACAATGTAGACAGATTGATCACCATCGCAGAGGCCAGTGCTTCAGTCTCATCGTGGGTGAGAGGAACACCCCGTCCGATCAATCTGGCATGTATGAGTTCGGCAGAGAGCGCGCGGACTATGTCGTCCATGGCAGGACTGGATGCGGTATTCATATTGTTTTGGTTGCCCGAAGAAGGCATTCGATTAATAGTACCAGCGTTCGTATTATTCGTAGTATGATGTTGCTGGCGACCATTAGCTGCCTCGGCCCCGGAGATGACTGCGCCATTGACACCGTTGACTACCAGTCTCGGAGGAGTCGCAAGACGGACTGGTGCCCCGGAGTGTAGTGGAACTTGCAATTGAAGTTTGCTGGGCCTTCCTTGTGTAATTGGAGTCGGTGTTTGATTATAAGGTGGGGTTTGAAAAGATTGAGGGGGGTTCGAATCAAGCCCAGTAGGAGAGGTTTGAGTGCCAGTGTTAGGAATCTGTGACGATTCTCGACTGGGATTGACCTGAAAGGTAGAAAAGGAGCCCGAAGTCGGGCCTTTGTTTGGAGGCCTGCCTCGACCTTTTCCAGTAGACAGACCACTGCTGCTTGGCCAAGCAGATGAGACAGCCGGACCGTGTCGTCTTCTTGTACGGGTCTTCTCACCGGTCGACGGGGTCACAGCGGATCGAGGCTCAGCAGACATGAGAACATCCGATGGTAGATGGCTTCTCGGTATGATAGCGGATTGAGGATAGTTAGCAGGGGACGCCTCCCGCTCTGGCAGTCTCCAGCGAATATCTTGGTTAGACTGATCTGGTTCTTGGGCTGCCACCCCACCTTGGAAAGAAGAGGCAGCCGTGATCCATGGATCATTGGATTCCATGTCGTCTGGAAATGCACTGAATGGAATTGCGCTCTGCGGGAATGTGACGGAGTGCGCCGGGAAGTTACCGTGCTGGAGGGCGCCCACTGTTGTATCAAGTTGAGGCCGCTTTGTCGCTTTGTCCTCGTCGAGCTCCCTATCCTCGGCCCTTTTTCTACCCCGTTTTGGCTTCCACTGGGGTACAAGTGCCCTGAGCGCGAGGTCTTCCTCTAGCGGTACACCATCGCGAGAATCACTGACAAAAGGACCAGATGGCGGAAGGTTGGTGTAATATGGATGATGTAGATTCAAGCAATAGTTGAAGAATCCGTCGACATGCATAGCACGCATCCAACGCTGGGAAATGTTAGCAGAAAAGCAATACAGGCTTCAAGGGAACACCCACTTTGAGTCGAACAGAGTACTGTTGAACCTTCTGTGTACTCTGCTTCTTTTCCATGGACGGTGGTTCCACACCTAGTTGAATCGCCAGCTCAATCCAAGTCTTTAATTCACCATTTTCCTTCTTGCGAATTAATTCAAAAAGTGCAAAGACGCTAAAGCTTTTGCCGTCACTCCGTGGCGGAGTACGAAACGTTTTCCTTAGTTCTGATGTGTCAACTGTTGATGGAACATTGGGATTGCAATACAGAATAAACTTGACATAGGCGTCATCGATAGTATCGTCAGTAACATCCCGCGACGGAAGAACACGGGTATCAGCATGATCGGTAGGATCCTTCATCGGTTGATGCCGTTGAGGTCCAAATACTGGTGGCGACATGGATGGCCCTGAGCGAGTAGTTGATGATTGGGGGATGGCAGAACGTATGCCCCTCGGCGAAGATTGTAAGCTTCTCGGTGTTTCCCTTCGCTGTAATGGAGGGGAATTGTTGACATCTAGCTGACTGCGAGCACTCCCTAAAGAAGAGGCACTCTGGAGTGTTGATTCCAAGGTCGGGGGATATCGCGCATATTGCTGGACAACCATCGGCGGCCCTCCAAGCTCACGGTTTGGGCGATCACCCGAGTCCATCATCGCAGGAAATGAGGCTTCCATGTGAAGATGTCGGACTGAAGGCCACGGAGCTCCTTCAATTGCAGTGCAAGGCTGGACAGGGTAAGACAAAGAATCATCAGAATCTTGCACCGCACGTCGTCATGATCAGATCAGAAAGAGTACATGTATGACCAAGACACGGAGTAAGGCAACTCTGCAGAATCCAGGAGGTTTCCCCTCGAGGTGGCTGGAAGCGCCCATCCTTAAAGCTCAAGCTGAGTTCTATTTTGGGGCCATCTAGTGCTCCCTAATCAGGACTAGCGTTGTGGCCTGAGGGCGGGGTTGCTGCCCCGGATCACGTGCTCCACACGATAGAGTGAATGCCTGGTACAATTGTATTGTAATTAATGGCGTAGAGCTGTGTATGTACACTAGTATCATCTGCATATAGTTTCCAAAATGATACAATTACAATTCGCCAATTTTTAAGGTAGTTTTGAACTGTATTTTCAGCTCGATTAATTTGCAATATGAAGACTACCCGGGAAATTGAAGTTAGAATCAACGACATGTAAGGTAACTTATCTAACTTGCGTATGGCACGATACAATTAATACAAATACCACACCTTCCCTTTTGAGGTTCAGCTCCCTAAAGCAGTTAGCGTCAAGCTTATCGATAAGGATAATCATTGACTCAGGTGAAGAAACCGGCTTCATCCGGTTCATCACTGCTGTCGATTGATATCGACAGCAATTCTACCATTGTTGTCGCCAGATTCGCCTTCATAGACCCTCCTAGTGCGCGTCATTGCGCGTGCAATGTGGCTCTCTTCGGCGCTGGCCACAATCTTATCCTAGCGCGGCCCTACGAATGTCATAACCGTGAGTACTTGGACCAGTCCCCGCACATCCACGCGCCCCGAGGCCAGCATACCATTTGGTGTAATATATTTGCTTTATTGTTCATCATTTTTGACCTCTTGTTTGCCAGTCGTCCAGTGGTAATGCAGAGGCTGTTGACTGTGCTCTGACAAGCTCTCCACACATTCAGGAGACCCCACTGTATCCGCCATGGCGTCCTCGAGATCCACTCGCCCAGTTCGTTCGAATCGCACCCAGGTGCAGTCCTACCACGAGGAAAGCTCCTCGCAGGATGAAGGACTTGCGACATCACGCCGAGAGTCATTGTCTCTACGTTCGCGCACTACTGGAATGCCAAGATCCTATCGTGAAGAGTCAACGGATGGCTTCGATGAGCTCGATGAGCCCGATGACCAGGAGCTAGATATGGTGGTCTCACCCGCCGCGGAACCACTGGCCTCCGGACCTATTTCTAACCCTCGCGCTTCTCGGCCTCAACGCACAGCTCCAAAGCCCAAACCGGCCAAGAAAACGGGAAAACGGAATCGGGGTCCTGTGGGAAAGCCCTTGAACAAGCGCCCAAAAACAGGGACAGCTGATGCGATCTTTTTGGGATCGGGTGTTGTCCCTCCTTGGCAAACTCTTCCCTACCATATTCTTTTTGATATTTTCTTGCGCGCGTCCCATCCATTGCTCGACGAAGGACGTTCGACTCGCAATGACTCCGTGAAGTGGCTAGTGAACATGGCCCTTCTATGCCGAAGCTTTCATGAACCTGCGCTCGCGGCGCTCTATTATTCCCCTCCATTGCTGCCTGCCCACAAGAGCCATGCTCTTCTCAATCTGCTATCTCAACCTCAAGAGTCACTGTCCATGAACTACTCCAGCAAGATCAAGGAACTTCATGTGGAGGTAGAACCCGTTCTTCAATACAAAAGTGGACCCACTCTCGGCTACTTCGATCTTTCCAGCTTGCTTGAGAAGACACCTCAACTGCACGTCCTGCGGCTGTACCACAAGGACGACTTCACCATGGGAATGCCTCCTTGGCATATTGGTCCCTCGAAATGGACTTACACGGAATCCATGTTTGCCGTCCTTCACCGTGGGATTCTTCTCCGTAGTTTTGAATGGAACTCTCGCTTCTTGGGTACTAGTGAACTTCTTCATTTTATGAGCACACAGCATATGAAACCAGCTTTCAGGGGCTTGAGGGAGCTCAAACTTCTTCACATCGATGATTTTGATATGGAAGAAACACCTTCTCCGAAAACAGCAGCCCTCATTCGAGCCGTTAATTTACTTCCAGAGATTGAGAGATTGGAATTTGTTGAAAGCTCTCTGATCAACGGAGAAACACTGACCAAGCTGCCTCCTACTCTTCGCTCTCTCACCCTGAATAACTGTGATCGGATGTGGTCCGAAGATATTACAACCTTCCTTTCCTCGCATGGTGCAAATCTTCGAGAGCTCAGCCTGAGCCATAACCGCCATCTCAGCCTGTCCTTCGTTCAAAATTTGGCACAATCATGCCCGAATCTTGAATTATTCAAAATGGATCTCTCGATGCATGACGTGTCTAGCTACCACGATGTCGAGCCACACTTTCAAGAATTATTTGCCCAGTCCGAAGTGCCCACATGGCCAGAAACACTTCAGGAAATCGAACTCACCCAGCTGCGCAAATGGAACGATGCAACTGCCGAGGTATTCTTCACATCCCTAGTGAACGCGGCACCTAAGCTCCGTTCCTTGCGACGATTAGCCATAAGTGCAATTCTGAAGATTGGATGGCGTGACCGCGCAACCTTCCGCGAGAGATGGATTGGCCAGCTTGAGAAAACCTTCCTGCGTCGGAGCCCACCACCAGACCCTAGTCTCCGCTCTCTGCGGAAGCGCCCGCTCCAGCCAACTCTCGCAAGTATGAATGGACCTACCGAGACCAAGGAATCATCCGATTCACGTCCGGGTACAGCGGAAAGTGGACCATCGTCCAAACGCCAGAGTGTTCGCCTGGCGCAGAAGACCACAGAAGTTGGAGACGATATTGACGACTCGATGCCGGAGTCGCAGGGGATGTGCGACATTGTCAGCATTCGCATTGATAACCAACGTCCCACCGAAATGCAGTACAATGAGAACGACTTCCTCGACGATGAACTGAGTGGCGACGAGGATTGGGCCGGTGATGACTTTGAGCCCGCCGCTGGGCATGCGTGGTGATTATTGATACCTGTAATATCTTATGATTGTTCTATGAAGTATGACGAGTGATTTCTGGGGTTTTTTTTATCGGCGCCGTTGCAGCTTTTAAACTGAAAAAGGATTGGGGCAGGATAAACAGGAGCAATGGGGGCGCATCTTTTGTTTTTTTTTCTAAAAGAAAATAGCTACTTACGAGCAATGTGGTATTTATGCCAACTTCAGGCAGTTTTAGAAATGCAAATAGGGTAACGAGTTGTCCTGCTGAACATTGCCGTGCTGCCATCCAAATGCTTATACTCGAGACGTTGACCCGGTCTGTGCACGGCGATCAGATGGCCAAGCCCCACAGGATCGTCTTATCCGCAAGTTCTCTTTCAACTTCACACATGTTTACCCTCTGTTGGCATCTCCATTTTATCCTGCCTATTCGTCTTTTGAATGTCTTGAATTTATTTATCGCGATCTTGACCCTGTTCTGACTGGGTTCGGCCATGGCGCCCGAGGCCCCCGCGGACACAGCAGGCCCGTCCTCCCCACCGCCTCGACTACCAGAAGGATGGTAAGTCGACTCGAGAGCGATCCTTGATCCTTGATCCCATAACTCCCAACCTGACCATTTGACAGGCTCGCCCAGTGGGAGGGCGTCCAACGAAAATGGTATTTCGTCCAGCGGACAACGGGCAAGTCGCAATGGGAAATCCCAACCGAACCCGTTCTCCTCACGCCATCAACAACACCAACTCCCCTCGGGCCGGGACCCTCACAAGTGCCAAACTCGAATCAAACGGGCAATAGTTCGCGGGCGGTAGAGACTGGGGATACAAAGGCGGACAGGGATCGTTCTGCGGCGGACAGTGCGAGAGTTTCCGTAGGGAATCGCGCTCATTATATCTGCATAAACGTTGCAAGAATGGCACTGATGGTGGAATAGAGCTCCGGTAATTCCCAGATGCATGGGGGACTGGAGAACCCTCTGCATGGGTCTGCAGGAGTCCTAGGTCCGTATTCGAATCAGACCGGTCAGCACTTGCCCGGGGCGTATGCGCAACATCCTCCCGGGAACGACGGTGGATATGGTCCGGTACGGCTCGAGTATTACTGCTACAGTTGGCACAAGTTCTAACATCTTTGCAGGGACCGTTGCAGCACGGCCATGCTACACAGATGAACGGTTCTCAACCTGTTTTCTATTCAATGCCTGGGCATCCTGGCTATCAAAACGCCCCGCAACACTTGAATCAAGGTATACCCGGAGCCGCCTGGGCAAATGCTGCTGCTGCGTTTCAGGGCCACTCAGGTTTTGACCAAGGGTACCATTCAGAACCGTTTCAAGGGTTTTCTACTGGTCCACTACCTCCTTCGTGGAAAGAGAGTCATACTCCTCAAGGACAGATGACAGGACAGATGACAGGACAGATGGCTGGCATAGTGATCTCTCAACCGCAATGGCAATCCGAGTCGCAATCGAATCAGTCAAATGGTCTCGGTGATCACGTCCCAATTAATGCCCACTCATCAACCCTTTCCCAGCCATTCTTTGGGCCATATTCCTCTCATAATGGTACTGGGCAGTCCCCGAGGGAGTTTCCATCTCGGCCCTCGGATCCGTCCCTCCCTCGGGAAGGGCAACCGTCCCAGGCATCCATGGACGGCTTTTCTAGACATTCGCCGCAGTCCGTGGCTGATCAAGCTACATCAGGTCACAAATATGGCGTCTCTCGGTCTCATCCACAACATCCTTCTACCGATCCTGCGTTGCAGGGATTCTCACCCTTGCAGCACGCTCAAGCTCAATACCAGCAGCAGTATATGATACGAAACCAGGCAGGGCCTGGTATAAATCACCAGACTCAGCAGAGCCAGCAGGGTAATATTCCTCAATATCAAAACCCTCTGGGCCACATTGGTTCCAACAGTTACATACCACAACAACAGTTTGGGCACCCCGGTGGACCTACAGGCTTCTCTGAAACTGCGTACCAAATGCCCTACAGCCAGTCGGGCCACGCACCAGGAACCACCCGACAGGCACCTTTCGAGTCTCAGTTTGTGAGCGGGCCTTGGACGTCGACACCGCCTAACTCTGGCCCGCCCTAGATATCTTGCCGCTTTTGGTTATTACTGCTATTAATTGACACAAGCACACTTCATTGGCTAGTTTGAGCGGATTCTGTGGATATCCCTTGCTGCGGGCCTTTTTCTTCCTATAGATTTCCGGGTTTGAGGTTGTACTTTCTTCGTTCAGCAACCAATCTCTCATTGGCATGTATTGTCCGGATGTTATTGACGTTCTTGCTATCACCTCATGAGAGTAATCCCTTAGTAGGCGATATAGGTGATCGATAAAACCACCAAGATAAAAATGGGGATAGAACAACTTGTGTAGTTCAATCATTTGCAACTGTGAGGAACTTTCCAGATCTATAATGTCATATAAGTCATCTAGTGACCATGGAAAAGGCTGACTGGTAGAGAAAGAGTGTCGTAAATCTGCGCTGATCTAACCTCACCGGCGTCACTTGCTGGTGACAGGTTCTCGCGTCACCTTAATCTTGAATATATTTGTGATTTACAATTTCTCCTTCCTCGACTATCCTCCACATTCATCTTCGAAGCTCGACTGCATCAAGCTTCCACGCACAGCCTCAATTTTTCTCCAAGTACTATTCTGACACATTTCAACATGCCTCAAGGATCCTGGGACGACGAGCGGCACAGAAAGGTGAGTTGACAAGTCCGAATCTGCAAGTGAGGCCGTGGTGAGCGTACACGTGCACGCGCACTCTGTTGGTCATGCATCACGTTGTCGCTGATATTTGCTGACACGTGACTCTCTTTGACCTAGCTTCTACTTGCCATTCTTGCGGACCAGCCCAAACTTGACTTCGAGAGTATCTCGAAGAACATGGGTGATGGTGAGCACTTGAGAAGCCGATGCCAATTTCCACGCACCCACACCTTGTTCAGCCCTAACATGCCGCTTCCTAACTTCTTGCTTGTTTAAATCTATTGCCTCAATACTGATCAACAACCAAATCAACAGGAACCAAGGCCGCTTCTATCCGCGAGCATATCCGCCAATTGAAGATTCGCGTGGAGTCTGCCAAAAATACCCCAGGCTCCTCCCCCGCGAAGAAGGAGAAGCCCACCAAGCCCAAGGTGACACGCGCCAAAGCCGACAAGACCCAATCCGGAGCTAAGCGCCGACGCACTTCCTCGGACGTTGCTGCCCTTGGCTGGGGCTACTTGAGCGACGATGTGGACGTCGAATACTCTGAGGCGGGGACTCCAAGCAAGGAGTCGAAGATCAAGAATGAGCCTGTGGACGATACCAAGCTCGCCGACGAGCCTGAGGTTGAGTAGCTTACTCCCCGTTCATTGGGGTCTCAGGATGCACCTTGCTACCAGTACTTAGTCGTTGTGGCCGCTGTTTCCCCTTTGTTCCGTGATCTAATGGCCTAATTGTGTGCTCTGAATTCTGAATTTGCGACGATATGGGGGTTGGTATTCGCTTTCAAGGTTCTAGTTACAATTAGCATTTACCTAGCACACGGAATTATCGAAAATCACAATCAATTCAACAATTGATTAATTTGAAGTTCACAATGATGCTTTACATCATGTCTCCTTTTGGTTGTGCTGGCCTCATTAACTTGGTCTGCTCTCTGTCACTCCTTTCTACCACGCGTTCCTCAGACAGTAAGGTAAGTGGGGTGGGGATCCGTTTGGTTTACCCAATATAAAATCCTGCTGTATACCAGGAAACGCAGACAATAGGCATATGTTGGCGATTCAGGATAATTGGTGACGCAGGCACCTGGCAATGAAGTCTCATGACTGAAATCGAAAATAGGAGACGCAAAATGTGTCATAAATGTGTACAAGTGCCATGAATTATTGGATAGTTTCTATACGGAAGCCCCGAACCAATTGTACCTCTCCATGCATTACATGCCCTGCTTTGGCCACTCTTTTCCACCTCTTTTTCATCTTTTTTCGAATGCCTTGGGTTAATCGTCTAGATCATATAAGGGGCGGGGTGTGAAATGACTTATGATCCCTATTGTAGTCACGGCTTGAGTAAGGAGCACGTACCCTGTGGTCATTGTTCATGTTCAGGAAGTGAAATGCTAAGAAATAATAATGGAATTGCCCAAGGTGGTCCCAAATTCTCCTGGACTGGCTTGAGAAGGGTCTTCAAAGGATGAAAAGGAGCAAGGAAGCGATTGTCCAACATCTAAATTTAAGCCTGGAGTGTTGAAAGTGGTAGCATGTTAGCATGTCTGCCCCCAATTGCGGCGTATACAGCCCGAGGTATCTTCTGGAAGGGTGGATTGTCCTAGTGAACGGTTTACAAATGGACAGAATACAGGAAGAGGAAAAAGACCAACCAAAGGCCAGAGAGATAGAAAAGAGACACCGTAAAGGGAGAGGAAGTCGAGTTCTTTTCACGCAGGATAGACACGTGGGGGCAGCTCTCCGTCTGCCTTCACTTCGGTGCTGTCCGAACGCGTATATAAGTAACGCCCACCTCCTTTCGTCCACCCTCGTCCTTTCTTCAGTCACGACTTCCCTTCCTCAACACTTCGTCCTTCTACACCATTTGCTACCCACGCATTATGTAAACACACCCTTTCCTCCATGATGATAGCTTCATACTAACTGGATCTCATCTAGTCTTCATCATGCCCATCACCTGGGACGACAAATCCGACGCTAAGGTATGCCACCACTACCCTCCGTTTCCTCTGGTCCATATTCCCTTTGTCTTATGTCTCTCGGCCCCGTGTCGCCTGCCCCATGGCCCCTGCCTCAGGAAAGAAACCCCTGGTCCATGCTTTGCAAGGATCTGGATTGGGACTCACCAGTCCGGGCTTCAGGCTTATTTGTCCAAATGCTCACAATCACAATAGCTTCTTGCTGGCGTCCTATCACAGACTTCTACCGGGCTCGACTTCAATGCTCTTGCGAAGTACATGGGCGATGGTAAGTTGTTTCATTCAATCAGGTCATAACTCCGGGTATATGGCGCTCATTATCCATCAAATTTCCTTCCCCCTTACTTTTTCGTCACTTTATCCAAACATTTATGCTGGTCTCTCTTCTCCCAAAGCCACCACCCCTCAATCTTGTTCACTCTTTTGGAGTTCTCAGCCTTTCTGAATCCAATCACTCTATGCTCCCCATATTATGGACTACAGCCCTAGAATGTCTCACTACCTGGGCTGTAACACTACGTTGCCGTCAGAATTCTGAAATCGGAGGTCTCGTGTTGTCAGTTTATGCGGACAACTTCGTCACGAGATACATCCTCAGTCCTCCTTGAAAAGACGTCTGCAACACCATCCTGACCTTCATTTTGCCTGTGTGGAACTCAAACAGACCATGTCTGACAATTGACCTAGGCTGCACCGTCAGTGCCCTGCGCCACCGCATCGTTCGTATCAAGAAGAAGGTCGCCTACGATGAGAACCTGATGAACGCAGGTCAATCTAGCCCCGGTACCCCCGATACCCCCGCCGCCAAGCGCAAGCGTGGCCGTGCTCCCAAGGCTACTCCCACCAAGTTGAAGCAGGAGCCCAGCTCCGACGACGATGAAAAGCAGGATGTCACCGCCAAGGGCGAAGAAATTGTGGCTGAGGGCAAGAGGGTCAAAGTTGAGCATGTCGAGTCCGATGAGTATGAAATCTTGGACTGTTTTATGCAAATACCGATTCAGAAGACTGATTCTTGTGAGTGCAGGCCCCTCGGTCCCACGCTTGACAGCCCCGAAGACGATGACAAGCTCTTCCAAATGTGAACGGTTCTTTTAGGAGATCTGTACAGCAAGCCATGCTGAATGCATGGTGATGGTACTTCAAACCATCGACAGGAAAGTTGCCTACAGCTGAGACATGGAAGCGGGAGGGGAAGGTACAAATCAGGGTGCAATTGGGGGGGTATTATCTGGTAGTTGATCTAGCAGACAGCACTGGGCATGGCCAAATTAGTCTGTCTCTGTCTCTCGGAATGCAAGATAGTTTCCCATTCTGCTTTAAGGTTCCGTGGAGGTTGAAGCATTTGGCTGGCAGAATATTTGGTCCTTTCAAACGTACGCTCTTCGTGACAAATGGAACTCCACTTCACTTTCCTCACCATCGGAGGAAAGGCGTAGTAATCGTACGGCAGCCTCGATAGTAAAACCTATGAGCAATTATCATCGCCTGTGTACAGTTTCTAAGCCGAAGTGTAATGTCAATATTCACTCATCTTCTTAAATCGACTTTTGAACCGTGCTCGAGTATGTCTGAGGCTTGTCTTGTTGAGAATATATAGTGCCCTCAAATCGACGTCACCATTGCGACATGCGGGTGAACATCAACATCTTAAGGGACTATACAAGTGATGCAAGTTCGACGCCTTCCTTAAGATGGCCACGTGAAAGGAAGGTATATCAAAAAGGGGACGTCCGTTTAGCAACGCCCTTGAATTCAGCCATCTAGCTAGCTAGCTCCCTTGTTGCGAACAGTGACATCCAAGCCCTGTTTTGTTATTTTCAATTTTTCCTTCTCGCGCAAACGCAGGGACAGCTCCATTCCTTGTTAACAATATTGTATCCAGGTCCCCTACATGCATGGCCCACAGACACAAATGCAAGGGAAAACAAAAGAGAACTCGTGGCCATATCACTCCATCAAATTCTGGCCTTCCGGTCTAGTTGGTAGACTTGTTGCTTGAAACTGCGACTGGCCGACGAAGTCGAAGCAGGGTGGCGCTTAGTCCTCGCGGCAGGAGTCGGCACCATCCTCCTGTCCGGAAGTTGGCTCATCCTTGATCCAGGCGGCAAAAAGTCCCTTGGTTTCGACACCCTCGTCCTCGCTTTCCTTAGTTGGGCTATCCTCAGCCTTGATAGCACGCTTGCGCTTGCGGGGGGGAATCGGAGTCGTCTCGCCACTGGTTGTAGCTGCCTTTTGGGCACCGGCTGGCTTGCGAGGAGTGGCTGGATTTCGAGTCGCGATAGGGCTTTGAGAGCCCGGAAGGCCCGTGGTGGCCGCCTTGGCCTTTCCGCGTATCTTGAAAATACGCTCTCTGATTGCACGTGCCGTTGGTCTGAATTCAAGGTCCGAGGCTAAGACGAGGTTAATAATATTCGAGGCACTGCTAGCTTAAATTGAGACCACTCACACCAGGCCTCGGCGACCTTGTTAAAGTCGATCGACAGACCATGGACCTCCAGGATCTTCGCGAGGAGCTAGCGTAAAACATACGTGATTAGTCTTAATTGGGAAGGATATATCGGGATTATGAGGGTGACTTACGATCTGGTCCGCTGTGGCGTCCCACTTGATATTGCGACCCATCTTGCCTAGTGAAGAAAAGGAGTGTTTGAAGAAAAGGGGATGTGGTAAAGTCGGGGGAGTTGGAAGCGTGAAGAGAAGAGGGAAGCGGGAGAAGAAAGAAGAAAGAAAAATGGGGACACGTCGAAAGTGAACAGTATAGTCCCATTCTGCAAGCGTGAACTGTCTCGGTCGTGAGACTTAGGGTTGCGCATTGTCAGGTTATATTGGTGCTAGGCCTGATTAGGAAAGGCGTACTTCTTTATACATATCACCAGCTAACAAGTACAAGTCTCTTTAGGTGGCAAGGTTCACAATATATTCGTTGCATTTCTCTGTAAGACTATATGGGAAGCAGCGAAAAATCACAGTCCAACGGGCGTTTTGAATACTCGAGCTTGTTATCTCCCTAGCTCAGTCTTCTTTGAACTGGTCTGCTACCAAGAGAAAGTAAAAAAGATCAACACGCGACACCGAAGATGTTTTTGATCATCCACCCACTGTAATATATCCCAATTGAATCAGTAGTGCAATATCAGGTTATTGAGAAAAAGAGAAGGTTAGATCAAGTCGCATCGAACCAAGACGCGGGATTTAGGCAAATGAGACTGAAAGTCTCCGTCAGCTTCCAAACTTTCCATTTTCTTACTTCCTCGATCGATTCGCGCTGCTCGTATCTTGCCAATAAGCCGCTACAAGAACCACCCCCGCCGCTCAACTGTCTTTCTCTCTTCGCCCACCCGAGGATTCCACAACATCTCATCCTCTCATCGCCGCCATGATCGACAACGATCGCCTGATGGGGTCTATCCTCGCTGCTCAGCCTGAAATCCAGGTAAATATGCGCCCCTTGTCCAAGTGACAGCATATTAGCTGGTAGTAAGCACGTGCTGACAACAGTAAAAAAGCTGGACTTTGACCTGATCGCCGAGCTCTACGGACCAGGTGTCACCGCGCGCACCATCCAAAGCAAGATGAACAAACCCCGCCGCATTGGCGAGACCTTGCTCGCCGTCCACAACAGCAAGGTCGAGACTGGTGAGGTCCCAGACCGTAACAAGAGTGCCTGGATCCGAGAGAACGCTCAGAATGAGGCTCGGGTTGTTGATTCTCTGGCCAAACTGGGAAATGTTAAGAACTACCTCGGCCGCGAGAAGAACCTCATGGAGTCCCTTCCAGCTGATTTGCCCGTCTTCCGCAGCAAGAAGAGAAAGACCGAGCGCGCAGCTCGCATCTCTGAGTTTCTTGCCAACACCGACAACCCAGACCTTCAGCAAATTGACGTCGTCGACCTCTCTTCCGATCCTGAGGATTTGGCGAAGAACAAGCATACCATGAAGGCTGACCACATGTTGAATGATCGCGTTGTTAGGCCCCCCTGGACCATGTCTGACTGGCCAGCACAGTCTGGTTGGCAAGGAAAGCGTGAACTTGGTGCTCATTCTAACCAAGCTGTTCCTTCAAACTGGGCTGCCCCCTCACAGCAGGATACCCAGGATGCATACTCCGTCACCTGGAATGCACCCCCCGGCCGAGAGGTAAAGGATAACTGGAATGGACAGCGCAGCTGGCATGGAGGGTCCAACCAGGACATCCAGTCTGGTTCTGGCACACTGCCTGACTGGGGCACTGAGAACTACCAGAACGCAGGTAACAAACGCCATGCCCGGCGTCTTTCCCGCTGGGACGATCCTGGTGGAGTTCCTCAGGTGCAGCAACCAACTGGGCATGACTACGGCTGGACCGACACTTCCACTATCAATCAAAGCCGCAACCCCATCAGCTTCATGGGAAGCAGATTGCCTACTATTTGGCACCAGCCTGGTCGGCAGTTTGCTCGGTCCGTCAGCCAGCAGAACGAAGAGAATGAACGCAACGATTGGTGAAATTGATAAATTCACACAACATATGGTCTTTCGCAAATTCCCAATGCGCATTACGATCTGCATGGAGGGCCTTTTTGATATCTTCATTCTTTTCTTTTTGCCCTTCCACGTCTGCCCGCACATCCGACTTGACCGTGGTGAGATGGCTGGTTGATGGAGGGTTGACAACAGACCAGTCGGCATGATGCGCCAGGGTGATCTCCATTCATTTTTATCTTCAGCGCTTGACGTTCATATGGCTTTCTACGTTACTGGTCTTCCATCTCCGTGCGGCTTTACTTTATCTGCACTGACAGCAATGGAGGAAGTTCATACAGCTGGAACAGGGCTCGGTGAACACTAGTACATAATTTGACTCAAATCAGAAAGCTCTTGACAAATACCAGATTCTACCTCATATCTGTAATACGTGTTAATAATGTACTGGTCTGAGATTAATTTGTCTAGGTATCTGGAGTGTCACGTTCCTTTGAACGATTCCTGTGCAAATACATCGTACGTTTCTCTGGAAAAGAAGGTATGTAACACTACGATGCAACGGTAAGCGTCTTGGGCTGAGCGTGCCAACAGTATTCAGTAAAGAATATCGGAATATGCTAACACAAACAAATAAGACATTATGCATTGGTAAAATGACAAGGTAGAGAAGGTCATCGCTAGGAGGGTGGGTATCGAAACAAAAAGAAGAAAAAAAAAGGGAAGACGAGGCATGCAATCCGGGATCAGAGAGAATTCTTCTTTTGGTAAGACTTTTTCCTGGGTTTTGCCCGGAGGTTCATGGCTACCATTGATTTCAGGATGCAGTAACCCCGAACGCATTATCAGAACACGCTTATTTAGCAACACGGCACCTTCTCAAAATCCGAACCGGCATTTGCGGCAAGCCATCTTGATTATCCGACGAGGGTAAATCGAGAGTAGCAGGCTGTCCACTCTGTGATTTGCGCGGTATTCCTGCGCCGTCTGTGTGAGGTGCCAGGTAAATACTCTCAAAGGAATCATGGGCACTGTTGGATTTGAGTGGACTGCGACGCTTCGAAATCACAACCTGAGGATCACTCCGACGGGACCATTCAGGCCCTGGTATGTCAGGTATTTGCCGCTTTCTCGATTCAGTTCGTGGAGTCCGAGCAGAAGCTAATTGATTCTGTAGCTGTTTAGAAACCAGCTCTGTCCTTCGTCTCGAGCCAGGCGATCGGTTGCGGTATACATGATGTCTGTCGAACTGGGGAGATCGCGATCGAGCCCGGATTTTGGTGATCGCTGACGACCTGGATTGCACGGGGCAAGGGCTCTGAGAACCAGGTCTGAATTCTGCATCATCACTTTCGTCTGGAAGGGATGTCGAGTAGGTCCTTTTGAGCCAGTCACGAACAACTCCTGTTCTTTTCTCAGGTGCGGATGCATTTTGTGGTTTGACCTCGGAGCTCTGAAACCAAGCCAGTCTCTGGTTGACCGTCGGCCTCTGTGACAAGTGCGAATCATCAAGATCCCTATGCTCTTCACGAACAGATCCAGGTTCCAACCGCTCCTCTCCACCATCATCATCGGTCAACCCTCTACCAGACTGCACCGCAACTTCTGGCAACCCAGGATCCGGCAGCGGTGACCTCACCTGTTTAGGACCCCAGTCCACCAGGACTCCATGAACACCAAGCAACGCAACAATCCGCCGTTTAACAGACAACCACGAATATGTACGGCCAGTCTGCTTCAAAAACTTCAACGCAAGATCACACCAGAACTTCTTGCCAGGCAGTTTATCGCCAGGGCGGTCGGGAACATGTCGCAAATAGAGGCTCCACAGGACGGCTTCTTGCGCCGGAGTCAACGGCTTGCCACGCATTGTTGGTGGGGCATCGTCGACCTTTATATCGGAGAGCACAGCGCCTCGCACCGTTGCGAGGCCCGATGGCGGCATTTGTGAGGGTACCATTTGCACCTAGGTCTGACCGGAGTTGGTCCCCTTTTGTGTGGAATCATAGGATGAATATTGGGAGACTGCCATAGATAGGGACGCTGCTTGAAGCTCGAGGATTAAGGGTTTGATAGACTGCGATTGGACCCACAATCTAGGAAGAATGCTATTGGATTGAGACCCAAGACTTGTACAAAAGCAGTGTGGGTTGTGCTCAATGTGGGTTGAATTGCGATGGACGCGACGCGTGAATTTCGCGTTTTGGCACGTGACCGGGATAAAGGTTTCATAGAGGCAAGGGTGAGCCAGAACTACTCTTTTTACGTGTTTGGGTGTGCTAACAAGTCTCCGGTATTTATAAGCCTTGTGGGCATGGATTAGGGCGCGGTGCAGCAATAGGGCTGACGTGTATGAAGATGTGTACCACGTGTTTGGAAGCCTAAATTGACCACACATCTTGGACACCAAGGCACCGCGATTCTCAATCAATTTGAATTAGGTCGAAATACGATTCTCGCTATGAAAATATCCCGCAGGACCAAGAAGAACGCCAACAATGACCAACAACACCATTGAAATGAGTCCAGCTCCATCTCAACTAATGACATAGCTGAATCCACTGCGCAACAATATCCTCCATGTCATGCGCAACCCCCCACTGTGAAGACAAGCAACGGAAAAGCTTCTGCATAGAATTCAGCTCATAAAGCAGGTTCCTTCTAGCTCCAGTCGCAAGCACCTCAGCGCCATGGTCACTCTCAACGAACCGCCTCGTCTCCGAACCAGACCGGGGCCGCATATCCTCCGGACCCACGTTAAGGTCGGCATGAGATAGCAAGGCTTCCTGCCACACGATATTGCGAGGTAGGTTCACGGTGGCAACGCTGGCGAGCGACAGCACCACGTAGATTGTGGCGGCTGCGAACAATGAGCTGGGCATGTGTACCACGTGGGCGCGGCCTCGTGGTAGTTGTTCGACAATATCTTGTATGGCGACGGCGTGAAGCACGGCTCGGCGCGCATCTTCCGAATTTGCCCATTGTGCTAGATCGAAGCCCGGGTGGACCGTCCGGCAGTCACCTGAAACGTGTTGCGGGATATTGTACTGGGAGCAGACATGCCGGGATAGCACGGTCGAGTTGATCATCGTGTCTAGGCAAACAGTGTGCCAGCGCAAAAGCAGTTCGAGTCTCTCGGCGGCTGTGAAGTGGATGCTCATGGAGATTGTTTCGTGGACTTGGGCGAGGGCGCGCCGGACATCGGATTGGCCGGGTACACCAAGAGCGAGTTCATTATCATCACCGTCTGAGATCAAAGACTGAAGTCCTTCGAGAACCACCCGCAACGCAAAGGCAGAGAAGTGGTAGTCAAGGGGGCGGAAGCTGCCGACTGGTGGGAACAACGAGCGGAAGATCACTCTAAACGAGGTCTGGTCGGGCGTCTGGGCGTGCAGGTGAGCCAGCCATTCATCAGCAGTGGCGGCATCGAAGGCCTCTTCGCTGCTGGGGAGACTTAGCGAATTGGCAACATGCCTAGCGGAAGCTCCATCACCCGACATTTGAGCGACCAGACCGTCTAAGACATAGTAGGCTAGCAGAGAGCGTTGTTGGATCTCGCGAGCAGACCAAATCCGCCACTGGTGTTCTTTCTCTGCCATAGGAGCATCCACAGGTGGCAGATTGTCCATGGAGTAAGGAGGGCTGTCGTACATGCCGCAGTGTCTTGCCCAGAAGAAGCCCAATGGGCGGAAGACTTGGCTAGTGGTTCGGATTGCCCTGTTCTTGGACAATGCTCCATAGACCTGACCCAGTAGAGCCGTGATCATTAGCTGGACGCCCTTGCAGGCGTCATAGGGACCACTATGCGTGATCAGCGACTGCCAAGATGTTGCAACGGCGGTATGTGCCAAACGCCACAATGCTTCGCCTTTGGCAACTGAGTCCTTGGGGCCGAGATATAAAGATCCAATGGCGATAGCGTTAAGTAGAAGTGCATGAGTACATTCTCGAAAGACGAATGTAGCGCGGTGCAGGATCGGAAAAGTGGGAATGAAGCGGACGAAGAACATGTGGAGGCATTCGTCAAGGAAGACCGATGTGATGGATGTAGCCTTAACAGCGGCAGTGACGCTCGATGACTAAAAGGTCATCTATTAGTTTTAAAATGTTTTCCATAGACCCAAATGTCGATAGACGCCATCACAGAGTCCCTTGTCTCGCCAGAGGGGGATAGATTCAACTAACCGAGCTAGTCACCATATCAGTAACGTCTCGTACCGCCTGGTGTCCACCCCCGGACGGTATTGTACCAACGGAAGAGCTCCTATCATCAAAGGAACTAGGAGAACCAAAGTTCATTCCATTGATATCCTGCACGACAGGTGGAAAGGGCAATGTCCCAAGAGGCATCTGCCAGTGATCCGTGGTGTCCGAGGACATGAGGCTCTGGAACAGATTCTCTGAATCAGGCCAGACCAACGCAAAGTCCAAGTCGGACGCGACATGATTCATCCCATGTCCTGAAGTGGCCTCGTCCCACGACTGACTGGTCGCCGAGGTTGACGCTGGATTGGCAGTAGAAGCACTATTCGTATCCCAAGATGAAAGAGAATCTACTGATGGCGGCTGTGGCTGTGCAGACAAGGGCGCCGGCGAAGAGCCATTATTTGCATTCATGGGTCGGGTATGTAACTTCTCATGTCGAGTAAGGGCATCTTGTCGGGCAAAGGGTCTCCGACACTCCTTGCAGACATATGGTTTAGAACCCGTATCTGAATCTCTCGGTCAGCCAGATGGATATTAATATTGGAGCTTGAGCCAGGATCAGGATCCAATTTCAGATACTGGTATCATTAGAACAGATCACATACGGCATCGCTCATGTCTCTGCAGGCATGCGTTAGCTCTGGCATCACTTGACGCAGACAATCCCCTCTTGCGTCGGGTAACCTGATTATTCAACAATAACTCACCCTCAAGTGTTCAGCCTTCGAAAAGCCCTTTTGACAGACTCGACAAACCAGTTTCTTGATACCTGCTGATGCAGACGGTGTCATCTCTATTGACGCCATGTTCTTAGTTGTAAGGAGGAAGCAGGAATTGTGGGGAGGCGATTGTGGGGGGTGGCGAATGCTTATGCGAGCATCGGAAAAAACATTTGGAGGATTATATGATTTACCTTGTTGGGATATGCAGTCAGCTTCCGCAGCGTCTCTTTGCATGAATATAGATAAGACAACTTTGCATATTCAACTATAGAATTCAAGGTGGGTTGGTGGAATAGAAGATCTGCGAAATTTGTTGTCACAAGAACTGGTGTAAAACGTCCCGTGAATGTGGAAATACACCCGAGGCTGTGCGTATAGCATTCGCCTCCTTTTTCCAGCAGTCTCCAGGGTTGGAGGAGGTAAATGTAGGCCATTAAATGCCGAGGCTAAGCAGCAGATCCTTGTGCCAATGCTAGTGGAGCTTGCATGTCTGGCGGAAATTGCCTACTACATTCAATTTTGCCTACGCTTATTGGGATATAGTTCAAGAGCCAGCCGATGATTTGAGCAAAGTTGGCAAGCGTGCCCGGTCCTTTAGCAAAACTGTAATGTTTACCACTAGGCCTGTTAGTTTGTTTGGTACACGTATCGTGGCCTAGATATGGTATCCCTAGTTCTATACTTCGTCATTCTTTGTCCCAGAAATGACCTCAAGTGCGTTCCTTGGATAAGGAAAAGGCATTGTGGAGCAAACTCATACCTAAACGACTACTGCTCGGCAAAATATTGCCTTCAGAACCAAAACCAAAGATTACACAGGGTCCACACCTGTTGCGCGGCTTGCAGACAGACCTAAGTACCGACGGATAGCGGCTTCCCCAGGAACGGGATAGGTCCCGGTGGCAATATTGGGAATCCATCCGCGAACTCACAAACCCCAGTGGGCAAAGCAAGAAGATATGGAGTTCGGGCCCGTGGGGAGATTGCGCCAAGACGTCAAAACTAGTAGTTTTCGGTACTTGGCTCGGGTAGGATGCCATTTTGTATAGTGACAAGTTCTGTCGGCTAGCCGTGCTGAAGTGCCATGGTGGGCTTTACTAATGTGTCTGACAAGGCATCGCATTTAGCCGCATTGTGACTCGCCGAGTGCCCAGCCCGTGGAGAGCCTCCGCATTTCTCTCCACGATGCCGGAGCCGGGTTTCCCGAAGACATAACCCTGGGGTATTGTCCGTGGATTTAGCGGCTTGGCTCTGCACACTCACCGGGGGGGAGTTTTACCAATATGTTCTTCGCCTTTTTGAGAGAAATCCCGGTGTCTGCATCATTCCTCGTCACTTTGAGTTTCATCCCTTATACTTCAGTCTTGGCTTGGTGAATACTTCAATACACCCCCCTTGACTATCCTGACGATCTTCGACTCGCTACTTTCCTACCATTGCCATAAATATATGCGTTCCAGTTCGTCGACTGCTTGTCAGATCCCTACTTTGATCTGGGGACGTGATCAACATGACCTCTTTGGAATTGCAACCGTCCTCGTCTCGTCGAGATGGTCGAGATGAGGTCGAAGACGCTTCTTGCGGCAAAACCGACATTGATCTTGTAGAGAGCGCAGGACATGACAGGGCAGCGACCTACGGGGAGTCGGTGGCTGCTCGACTTCCCAAGGCCCATCGTGATTATCTGATGGAACGACATGGGACATTAGATCTCGACCCTATTCCCGGAATGGGCGCAGCTGACCCTTACAACTGGCCTGAGTGGAAGGTAAGTCCCTGGTTCCCAGTTACGAGATCTCAGATTCGCCCTGCGAGAGAGCGAGAGAGCGAGAGAGCCAAGAGAACCAATCCAGCAGAGACTGACGCATCAATATATAGAAAATGATGAACTTGATCCTTGTGGCATTCCACGCTTGCATGGGCACATTTACCGCCGCTGCCATCATCCCTGCCTATTCGACGATTGCCGAGGAACTGGGCATTGGCCTGCAAAACGCCAGTTACTTGACTTCTCTGCAAATTGCCATCCTCGGAGGTGCTCCACTCTTCTGGAAGCCGTTGTCCAACCGGTTTGGACGCCGGCCTATTTTCCTCCTCTCTCTCGTCTGCAGTCTTGTTTGTAATATTGGTTGTGCGAAGAGTACCACTTATGCCTCTCTGGCTGCGTGTCGTGCCCTGGTGGCCTTCTTCATCTCTCCTGCCTCCGCCATCGGCAGTGCAGTCGTGATGGAAACGACTTTCAAGAAAGACCGTGCCCGTTACATGGGTGTCTGGACTCTGATGATCACCTTGGGTGTCCCCATCGGTCCTTTCATCTTTGGTTTTGTGACCTACCGTGCCGGATATCACTGGATCTACTGGATCCTCGCAATGGTAAGTCAAATCCCACATATAAATTATTTCTCTGTTTGTTAGCTGACAATCCAAAGATCAACGGTGGCCAATTCATCCTGTATCTCTTCTTCGGTCCTGAGACCCGCTACCTAGGCAGCGGCGTCGACTCGGAGAAATCAGCCATGAAGGTTGAGTACCTGTCCCTGCGACGCATCGATCCAACGCCATTCACATGGTATGAGTTCGCCCGACCATTAACAATGGCCCGCCACCCCTCGATCCTAATCCCGACATGCGCATATGCAATGGTCTTCCTCTTCGGCAGCATCCTCACAACAGTCGAGGTTCCCCAACTGTTGCAAGAAAAGTTCGAGCTGAACGCCGAGCAACTAGGACTTCAATTCCTAGGTGTAATCATCGGCTCCGTAATCGGCGAGCAAATGGGCGGTGTCCTTTCCGACTTCTGGATGAGCCGTCGCGCCCGCCGAATCGATCGCAAGGCCGAGCCCGAGTTCCGTCTCTGGCTCAGCTACTTCGGTTTTGCGCTGACCATCATCGGCCTGATTGTCTTCCTGGTTTGCACGCAGGAAGCGAAAACTGGTCACTGGAGTGTGACGCCCATTATTGGTACCGCTATTAGCGCTGTCGGTAACCAGCTGGTCACGACTGTCATGGTCACTTATGCTATTGACTGCTTCCCGCAGGAGGCTGCTAGCATTGGTGTGTTTGTCACGTTCGTGCGCCAGATCTGGGGTTTCCTGGGTCCGTTCTGGTATGTGTTCTCTCCCTCCAGCCGTTGTATGGATTTGTGTTGTGGCATTGTGGCTAATTATCGAGTAGGTTCTCGCCAATGTTTGAGACTGTCGGCATCGCTCCCAGTGCGGGCATCGGTGCGGCGATGATCGTTGTTGTTAGTGTCATCCCAACTATTTTCCTCCATTGGCGGGGTCGGGTCTGGCGTAGCGATGAATAGAGGACAGCGGAAGCGGAATCGGGTTTGATTTCGTTGTCTGTTGTTTAGACATGAAGCGATGTTGCTTTCTTCAGATTTTTAGATGAGCGGTCGACACGGTACGATATATGTTCGGGTTCGGGTGCGTTAGACTAGACTCAGCTTCGGGCACGGCAATGCCGTTCGGGATTGTATATAGATTGACTCATGAACATTGAAAAGTCATTCTTCTTCAACAGCATTGGCAGCCGATGAAATAGAGAGCAACCTAGTCAGTAAGAAGACAATGTATCGAGTAGTGTAGTCGAGTAACCGAGATCGAAACCTCTTCTCGGCTCAATTGGTGGATGTGATGTAAGTATAGAGCGAGGGTACAAAACTCTGATTGAGCCGCTTCAAGACCCACGCAAGAGAAGCTCGAGAATTAAAGAAGAGAAGTAACAAAAGGAAGAAAGCAACAGTAAAAATATGCAAAAAGAAACAGCGAAAAGAAAAAGCCGCAGACCGTCTTTTAAGAGAAATCTACTCCGAACAGAAATCCTCCGGGAGAGAGCTCGGGACGCCGACCCGGCCTTGTCCTTTAGCGCTGAAATGGAGCCATCGCGGGTTGTTATGCAACCACCGGATCATGACTTCGGCTTGCAATTGTGGGCTAAATGTTTCGGTCTATTCAGCCTTAGGTGTGTGCTAGGCATTGGGCTACATTATACACAGTGAAATTATTCCCATAGATCTATCTCTATATCAACTATTTAGCTTTAGGTTTATTTGTAGTAGTATACTGGCAGCACTACAATTCAATAAAATACAATAAACAAACAAACTTTCTTCCAGTGACAAGTGTCTATCCCTCCAACAGTACAAACCACCCATAGAGAGGATTCCGTCCCCCTTTCCAATCTGTCCAAAATGCCAAGAAATTCATACGGACAAAGCGGGATAGACTTATTCCACCTAGGGAAGAAGTTATACCCCGTCGAGCTCTGTCATTGGTCAAAGCTCATAGAGATATTCGTGATGAACTTTTGACAAGCCATGCTTTCGAGAATATATACCCCTTGCGTGATGTTTTAACTAGGGATTCAAGCGGTCCAGATCTGGCGATCATGCATAATTCCGATACCTGTGGGGATTGTGGGTGGCCACGGCTATGTCTTGGTTCTTCGTGAATTCGCGGGCAGTACTGGTAGGCTCCATTTGCCTTGACAGCTGTGAGATAGTATATTGTTTTTGCATTGGGTAGTCTAAGGCGAATACATAGAACAGGAGTTCTTGCATCAAGGGCTCATATTTAATCTTATTTATCATGGATTCATTACTGGTGCTCAATCTTGTTGATGAGGGTTCCAACGTGAGGAAGCAGCTCGACGGCGAACTCATCGCCAGCCTTGATGAACTCCTTGGGGTTCTTGGCTGCGCCAACGCCAGGAGGGGTACCGGTCAGAATGATAGTACCGGCGGGCAGAGTAGTGCCCTGAGAAAGGAAGCTTATCAGCTGGGGGACACTGAAGATGAGATCACTGCAAAAGTCAGATGTCAGCTTTCTTCCTATGGACCACAAAGGCGGGAAACTTATGTAACTTACGTCAGAGGACAGTCCTGCATGGCACGGCCGCTCTTAAGACCGCGAATGTGAAGCTTGCTAGCATCGGGGATGAGAGCAGCAGAGACGAGGACGGGACCTACAGATATTGAGTTAGTTCAAGGTCACAATTGAACTACTACAGCGGACTCAACATACCAATTGGGCAAGCGCCATCAAAGCCCTTGGAGAAAGACCACTGGCTTTGATTCATTTGAGAAGTCCGACTTGAAACGTCGTTGGCAGCTGTGTAACCAAGGACATAGTCAAGGGCCTCGGACTCAGACACGTCCTTGGCATCACGGCCAATGACGATAACCATCTCGGACTCATAATCGCCGGTGTTATCCTGCTGCGTAATCTTGGGCAGAACGGTTGGCGCGGGCCAGGGATCGGCGAGAGAACTGGAGGGCTTCATGAACAATGTTGGCACCTCTGGGATTGGGAGAGACATCTCCTTGGCGTGAGAGGCATACTGGCGCATATATTAGTGTCTTTGTTTTTGGTGTTGGATATACATTATGGCTCACGTTCAGGCCAATGCAGCGAATAGTCCCAACCTCGGCCTGCGCCAGAGGGGACAGAATGCGCTCTATCGTCTCGATCGCTTCGGTCACCTTGCCTGGGCTCAAGACTGAGCTGCCAGAAAATGGGCGCACAGAAACCTCCTGTCCCTGGTAAAGGGCGAGTCCAACATCCAACTTAGGGTCGACCGGCTCGCCGATCAAAATCTTGGAGGGGTTCGACTTGGGGACGAAGCGCACCAGGCCTGTTGCGCTGTTAGATGCGTCGGAAGACAATGGGTCCAGATTACTCACGCGAAAACGTTGAGGCGATCTTAGACATGTTTAGTTGAGTTAATTAGAGACAGAAAAGAACCCCAGAAACCCCAGACAATTAATTATGTAGTCGGAGTTGAGACCGATAGCGGAGCATTTCTAGCCCATTGGAAAAGCCGGAGGGGCAACTCCCACACTTTGTGGGGATGTGGCGAGTGGGATGCGGCCCTAATAAAACCCCGCGGATGTCGCAATTCTCGACTTCAAGTCTCTATATCTCACAATGTCTGCTCCCAAGGGTCCTTTCCACCTCGTCACAGTCAACACTGCGCCCGAGCGCGCGAAGCGGCTCGTCGGCCGCGTCGCCGAGGCACTGAGCGACCGATACACGATCGTCCACGTCGACAACTGCGAGAGTAAGCATTACGCGCGGTATCGATAGACTCGACTCAATTGACTAATTCCCGACACAGAGATCGACGAGGTCGAGGCCAAGGTCAAGCAGCACAACCCCGAGGTTCTGGTAAGTCATTCTCGGAATTACCGAGTGCCTGTTGGGAGAGACTAACGGCGCCGTCAGTTCAGCGCATCCATGTGGAGCGCCGAGGAGGCTCAGCAGATCCACGCCATTGCTAAGTCCGTTCGCCCGGATATCAAGCTGCACGCTATTCCCGAGGGCTTGCAGGTTGAGCGTGGACCTGATGCTGTTGTCGAATATCTGTGTGAGAAGGTTCCTGTGCTGCTGGACAGCTAGACGATTAAGCTAAGATGATTGATGTATATATCCATACTTGCCTATGTTTCAATAGATGATTGATGACTTAGTTTCTACGGTCAGGTGATACCATCAGGCCTTTGTGAAACATTCATTGCATTTGCGAATTTTCATCGTTAGATTGTATATCACTCTGTCCAATCTCCATTCGGATAGGTAGTGTAATTGCAACCAGTTGAGTTCGGACGATGACAAATTTGCATTTGAACATCACATACTAATAACCACCGTGTCCTAAAACGACCTGGTAGCATGGACCATCTTTATTGAACATAGCCCGCAAGTCCTGAACGATAGTCTCAGGAACCTCCCAAGCGGCAAAATGTCCGCCATCAGCATGTTCACTCTGCCGAACGACCGGTCCCAACCCGGCAGCCCAAGTAGAAGGCACAACTGAGATTTCACAAGGAAGATGCGCGATTCCCAACTTCACATGCGGGATATATTCAATCAATTTCTCATATGAAATCCCCTCAATCCCCCCAGTATGGAGAGTTTCATAGTAGATGCGGACACTAGCCGCCGGGCCCGCAGTCGAGAACCAATAGATCGATATCCAGGTTAAGATTTCGTCGTCCGTCCAGGGGTATGAGTCAGTCCAGTCATGAAGTTTCTCGTAAATCCAGGATAGCAGGGCAACAGGACTATCTTCAAGTGCGGCGCCGATTGTCTGCGGCTTGGTTCTTTGGAGGAGATTGTATCCGAATCCTGAACGCTCGAACCATGCAGACCGTTCGAGGCCTTTCTTCTCTCGTTCACTGTATGGTAGCAGTGAGTGTTGCAGGGCTAGCCATGGGTTCACTGTGAATCGAGGGGGCTTGGCTAATACCATGTTGATGTGGGAGGCTTTGCAGTGTTCTGGGTATAGGAAGCCTACGGCTCTTGTAATCCAGAATCCCCAGTCTCCTCCTTGGGTTACTGTTTGTATTTTGAGTTAGTATGGAGCAAGTATGTTCCGGGCAGGTCAGTTGTCTGCGGGACCTTACCATACTGGTCATAACCAAGCTTGATCATCAGCTTGTGTATGACTTCCGCATACTGCGCAAGTCCAAATCCGCGCCGAGTTACGCCAGAGGAGAAGCCAAAGTTAGGCAAAGATGGTGCCACGATATGGAATGCGGGGTTATTGTCATCCCCATTCAACAACGGAAGAAGTTTGGATACCTCGATGAAAGATCCTGGCCCTGTGAACTGAGTCAGAGCTGGTGTCCGTTGCTGTCAAAATGCAAGAGACATGGGAATTGCACTTACATCCATGACTGAATAGCAGTGGGATGGCGTTCTTATTTGGGTTGACTTGATGGACATCTGCGACATGTCCTTGTGAGGATTCGCCATCATATTACTCAAATGAATAAAAAAGCTTACAGTGAATGTCCAAGCTACCAAACCCCTCTACCTCGATTTGTGTTCGATACTGGGGCAGCTCATTCAACTTGGCCTCTGCCTTTCGCCAGTCAAAGCTGTTCTTCCAGTATTCTATCAGACGCTCCATCTCATTGACCGGAGTTCCTGAGCTCCAAGAATCGCCATCTGAAGATTCTAGCTGTGTAGGAAGTTTAGCTAGTGCTAGACGTTGCTGAAGGTCCTTGAGTTTGTCATCGGAAATGGAGATCTTGTATGGCTCTGGTTGATCGGCCATGATGGGTGGGCTTATCTTGGTACTGGCTATACTCAGATAGGGACAGAGAGATAGCTTGGGCTTTATAATAGGCGCACTTTGTACAAAGGGATTCGAAATGGTTGCATATCCCAAGTGAGATGAAGTCATCAGTTATTCACAGCTTCACCCCCCCGCGTCTTCCCCAGATATATTTGGATTTGTAATCGTACATGATAGGCTTCAACCTAAGGTTTTACAGGAATTTCCCCCTTTTTCTAACCACAGAACGGCTCACTTCACATCAATTGGAGGCTTGGCAAAGGTCTAGATCTGATCATCGCTGCCAAGCCGAGTAAAAGAAGAGAGATCAACACATCTCCAGATCGAATCCGAGAACTGTGTAGGTTTCCACAGGATACGGCAAGTTCAAATGTCTCTCTCATTAAATAACTGTCAAATGTCCAACAGTTGTCCGCCTGAGCTGCCCAGGCCCGACCTTGGAGCCGCGGGGACGCTAACCTGATTAGTCATCGCGAACTGTTTTCCCGATCTTCCACCATCGTGATATCAACCACACTCCCTGATCCATTCTGATTCTTGACATGATGTTTTCCATACGGACAGCCGCGAGAGGCATTTCAAGCTTTCGGGCCTTTTCCACGGCCCGAGTGCTGCAATCGGACCTGGCATATCAAGTGTTTGGCCCGGAAAATGGCCAATCCGTCCGAAACCCGATCCTAATCCTCCACGGGCTTTTTGGATCGAAACAGAATAATCGGAGTATTGGAAAGTATGTGATATGTCTCTATGGGCTGAAATGAGAAACATTCTTACGTATATTTCAGGGCCCTGGCCCGAGATCTGAAATGCCAGATCTTTGCCCTGGTGAGTTTCCCGTGCAAGTATCTTGTCCCAAGAAGATACGAAAACTTTGAGGAACAGATGTTAACCATTTTGGAGTAGGACTTACGGAATCATGGCCAGTCCTTCCATGCCGCGGAGCACAACTACAGCGTCATGGCCGAGGACATACAAGAGTTTATCCAACAGCAGAAGCTGGACAAGTGTGTCCTGATTGGACACTCCATGTACGTGATGTTGCTCCATCTTTCAAACGAACTCGGAACTATGCGTTGCTATTTCGGTTTATTCGTTCCTTGGTACTGACAAACAACAAAGGGGCGCCAAAGCTGCAATGGCAGTCGCCCTACTGTCACCCGATCGAGTCTCAGCTTTGATCCCGGTTGACAACGCCCCAGTGAATGCCGCACTGAAGAGCGACTTCCCCAAATATGTCCGCGGTATGCAGAAGGTTGAGGCTGAGAAGGTCTCCAAGCAATCTGATGCCAACAAGATTCTTGAAGACTACGAAGAGGTATGGTTATCCCCTATGTGGTAGAGCCCAGAAGCTAGAAGCTAGCAACTAGACACTCAGTGTTCGGTCAGCTCAAATGCTAACAATCTTCAGTCCCTCCCTATCCGCCAATTCCTTCTTACCAATCTGGTCCGCTCAGAAGAAGACAACACGCTTAAATTCCGCGTGCCACTATCAGTGATCGGCCGTTCTCTCGACAACATGGCCGATTTCCCCTTCAAGGAATCAGATAACCTTAAATACGACGGCCCAACGCTGTTCGTCCGTGGGACTAGATCTCAATACGTTTCCGACGATACCATGCCGGCTATTAAGAAGTTCTTCCCCAACGCGCAAATCGCCGATGTGGAAGCTGGCCACTGGCTTATTTCTGAGAACCCTGAAGCTTTCAGACAAGGTAAGCTCCCATAGTCCCCAGTATCCCTAAAATGTATGCTAACATCGTGGGTAAAAGCTGTCGTGAAGTTTTTAGAAAAGGTTTAAACAGGGATATAAGGTGTATACTGTGGTGATCCAGATAGACATGTGTTTGAATGTACATTAATAGGCCTGGTGAGATTCTAGGCACCATAGAGGTATCTAAAAGAGCACATCACTGATCAGGCACTCAGGCCTGTTAAGAGACTGATTCCTGCCCTGAAAACCCGAGTCCCTAACCATTTGCTGCTTCCCAGAGTCGTACATCCACGTCAGAGGTAAGGGGTGAGGCGGTGAGAGTGAAGAATCAAGCACGAAACCATAGCTAGCCCTAGGCTTGGGCCTCATGCTTTTGCTTTTTCTTTTTCGGCTTTGTCACGGAGCTTTCTCTCGTTTCTCTCTCTCCCTCTCTCCCTGATTTCCTCTTAGCCTTCATCTCCTTCTTCTCCTTTTTGCCAAAGCCCGAAGAAATGCTAGGTGCTGGTGAAGAAGCCCTAGAGGAAGGGCCTGGTGTGCTTCTTTCGTCCTCTGAGGGCGTCCCAGAAGAGTGACGCCGCTTGCCCGCTTTCAATGATTGAACTTGCTGATTTTCGGGCTTTTTGAGTGACGATGTTCTACACTCTGAGCCGCTTGACGCTCCAGACGACAGACCGGGCTTTGTAGGAGCGAAGGCTTTGGCTGGGCTAGAGGTGTCGTTGCTTGGCCTTTTGAGAGCAAGCACCTCTAGCGGACGGTCAGCATTGCTGAGAGCTTGTTTGATGTTGTCCTCGGCTTTCCGTAAACGGTGAAGCATGTTATGGATCGGCTCACCGGCCAGCCGTTCCCGCAAGCGTTTCAATTGGTCATCTGTCAACTTGATACCGTCGTCTTCGATGGCTTGGTATTGGGTCTCAAGCTCTGCGATTTTAGGACTAAGGAAGTCGAGTTCACTCTTAAGTTCTTCAGTAAGAAGCTTAGTGGCTTTGAGGTCTGCCAGCTGGTGTCCTATTCCCTCAGCCTTGGATCCCAGGTTCGCCAAGCGGTGTTCTAGCACCTCATCCCGTAATTTAGCACCTTCCGCTTCTGCGAGCAGATGTTGGATTTCCTCTCGTTGTGGAATATTGACTTCCAGGTCTGATAATCGTGTGTTGATCTCTGTGAGATGCTGTAGATCCGCATTACAGCGCTCGGCTTCTGCTCTGTTGAACTCGGCAACATCTTTTTGCACTTGTTCCAATTGTAAGATATGGCCGTCAACCTTAGCGATCAACGGATCAATCTTTTTCATAGATTCAATGAGTTCTGCAGAGGGCTCTGCGGGGTCCAAGTCATCAAATTTGGCACCAACACTAAAGATCATCTCCTCGTTAGCTGTGACCTTATTGGACAAATTACTCATTTCCTGCAGCAGCTTTTGTAAGTTGGGTGTGTGCTGATTGAAAATGTGCTCCATGAGCTCGACACGTTGTGAGAGGTCGGTCACTCTCTCCAACATTTTTGGGTATTGTGCCAGTTGTGCCAGTGTATTTTTGTCTTCAGGAGATAATTGCGATTGTTGCTGTAAGATGGCAACATCATTTGCAAGGGTGGAAAGGTGATCGAGCGATTCTTTCATCGGACCGAAACTTTGCGAGATGGTGGTCACCGTGTCGAAGATCTTTGGAAATTGTGCCAGTGCCTTTTTGTCTTCAGGAGACAATTGTGATGGCTGCTGAAAGTTGTCCATATCTTTCGCAAGGATGGAAAGGTGATCGAGAGCTGTCTGCATTGCATCGACACGCCGCGAAAGGCTGTTCATCTTCTCCAACATACTTGGATACGCTGCCAGTGCATTTTTATCTTCGGGAGACAATTGAGATGGCTGCTGCAATTGAGCGATATCTGCCGTGAGAGCGGCAAATTTGTTTCTGGTCTCAGTTACATGCGTTTGAACCATTTGGTTGAGGTTAACCAAGGGGCTCATTTCAAGCATAGCATCCGACATGGACTTGACTAAATCACCGGTAGTGATGTTTGACCATCGCATCTCGAGCGATCGAAGGGAAACGCTGTGACTTGTAAGAAGACTGGTGCATTTTTTCGCTTCCTGGAAAGCGGGTGTCATTGTTTCTATGAGCTTCGAAGCTTCGTTCAAGTCATTCCGGAGCCGGTTAATCATCATTGAACAACTGCTGCAATACGTGGTCAGATCGCTTCGTATTTTGTCCACAGACGCCGTCAAATCACTGCGATAATTGTCCAGCTTTTTCTCAAGTCCCTCGATAGACCCTGCGCAAGCACTGCGATAATTATCTAGCTCGGTTCGAAGTTGCCGGTTTGATTCCGAAAGATCGGTTTCAACTTTCGTACAAAAGTTGTGAAGTGTACCAATGCTCGCATGAATAGTTCCCAGTTCTTTGATCAGGTCCTCATTTTTCTGGTCGATCCTGGTCACATCTTGTTTGGTCTTCTCGTGTTCCTCTTTTAGCGAATCGATGGACGTTTTCAATTTCTCTAGCTCTGCGAAATACTCGTCTTGCACATCCTGGTGGATTTTCATGATTCCCTGGATTGTGGTTCCTTGTGCCTGGACTTCTTGCTCCAAGGAGGACAATCTATGGTTCCTGAAAGATGAGGAATCTTCAGGTGTCCCAGAAGGTGCGCCACCGCTGGCAGAGCGTTGTTGGGATTTGAGGAGTGTCACTTGGTGCTCAAGGGGAAATACCCTCCCGCTCAGCTCATTGTTGGCTTTTTTAAGTTCGTTATTAACACCAGAGATTTTGTCTTGATGTTTCTTGTCGACCATTTTCAAGTCGCTGTCAAGCCTGGAGTTGTTGCTTTCAAGCTTATTAAGATTTCCCTGAAGCTTGGATACCTTGCCCTGAAGCTCGGAAACGTTCGCCTCAAGATCCTTGTAAGGTTTGGTGCTCGAAACGTCATTGCGCCCTAATCGGACAGAGTGCGAATGTATCGACTTTTCTAGTTTTTGCACACGAACCTCCATCGTTCCAGATGGGACCTCGGATTTTCTTTGAATTGTTGAGAGTGCGGTTTCGACTGTCTCTAATCGCCCGTGAATGTTGGTGAGATTGTTGGTCGTCGAGGCATCGGGTTCTCGAAGCTTTGAGATGTTGTGGTTGATCGCCTTAAGTTTATCGTCCGGAACGCTTGACTTGGAGGCAGATCGCGGGGCTTGAGTCTTCAGATCCCGCATTTGTGACTCCATCTTCTCAATCCTTTCTGATATCTTTTTGATCTCAGGCTGAGCCTTTGGCTGAGACCAATGACTAAGCAAAATCTCCTGGGCTTTGCTTGACACCAACCGACTTTGCTCGATGATATCTGTTTGCTTGGCCAACTCATCTTTTGCTGCGTCCAGCTGTTGCTGGTACAAAGAGATAGCACCAGGGAAGACTTGGGATTGTTTGGCTTTTTGAAGATTCCGTTCGAAAGTGGGTATTTCCTTCTCTAGTCTGTCTTTCTCCTGTTGACATTTGTCGGCTTTTATCACTGATGTTATCACGTCCAAGAGGGACACGGCTGCCTGGGGACTTGAGGGAGGGTCATTTAGTGCCGGCCGATTTGGGGTGGGTGCGTTTGTTGTGGTGATTCGTAGGGTTGGAGTGTTAGGATTTGTGGAGGCTGAAGAAGCTCCCGATGGGCCAGGGCCACCCAAGGTAGATGTCCCCAGTGGTTTCGGGGGACGTGAGACGGATGGTGGTGGTCTTATATTCGGCCTCGGACTAGGTCTCCGGGGATCTCTCGTTGGAGCGGGTGATGGATGGGGCCTGTAGCAGTCTGCGAAACCCGGCCTGGCACCCCTAGACTGTGGCAAGTCGATATCCATTCTGTGCGCCATGCTCCCTGAAATTGAACGACAGAGAGCAAAATGCGCATTGTATTAACAACGTCAGGCGGACGGACGTATGGGATTGACGGGTCGATCACTGGTTCTTCGCGACCCAGAACTTCAACACTGGTCAGTCTCTCTCGCGCACTTTGCCCCAAAGGTGGAGATATGAGGATGAGGGCCGCAAATAAATGTATCAAGATGTGTAGGACACGCGACGTCGTGTCGTTGAGGGAAGTGGGGTGTTGCAGGTGATAGTCGAAATGAACTGAGACCGAAATTAAATACTAACGCAGAGGACAGCTCGAGTGAGCCAACGAAAAAGTGAGATGGGCTGCTTCGAAATGAAGTTTCAAATGTGGCGATGCTCATTTCGATGTCTACTGTAGTTCCGTTTTCTTTGGCAAATATTCTGCCGGGCGGTAGCTGAGCACTGCGGTCTGTGATCTGCCCTGCCTCTCTCTCTTCTCTTGCTTTTCTGGAGCTCTATCGCATTTATCCAACAAAGTCTTGCTGTCAGAGAAAGGTTTTGCCCTGGACAATTACCAAAATGGCTGTTGTTAGTTGCAATTTTACAATGATATCTCCCCAGCTACTAACTTCAAAACAGCCAATCTCGACCGTCGCAGAGAGCAAGGAGCTCCGGGGACTGAACCTCATCGCCGCCCATTCGCATATTAGAGGTCTTGGTGTTGATGTGGATACTTTACAGCCTCGCACATCGTCGCAAGGCCTTGTGGGCCAGGAAAAGGCTCGGAAGGCCGCGGCGGTGATTTTGCAGATGGTGAAGGAAGGCAAGATTGCTGGTCGCGCGGTTTTGATCGCGGGACCTCCCAGCACAGGGAAAACGGCAATTGCAATGGGCATGGCACAGTCTCTTGGGCCAGATGTTCCCTTCACTATGCTCGCTTCGTCTGAAATCTTCTCAATGGAAATGTCCAAGACGGAAGCCTTGACCCAGGCGTTCCGGAAGTCAATTGGCGTGCGCATTAAAGAAGAGAGTGAAATCATCGAGGGTGAAGTCGTGGAGATTCAAATTGATCGCAGCGTCACCGGGGTAAGTGAAGCATTTCCGGGGAATCAATGACATTGGATACTGACCTCTGCAGGGCAACAAACAAGGAAAGCTCACAATCAAGACCACCGATATGGAAACGATTTATGACATGGGAACAAAGATGATTGATTCTATGACCAAGGAACGCGTCATGGCAGGAGACGTGATTTCGATCGATAAGTCCTCAGGCAAGATCACCAAGCTCGGCCGCTCATATGCCCGCTCTCGCGACTACGACGCTATGGGTGCCGACACCAAATTTGTCCAGTGCCCCGAAGGCGAGCTCCAGGTTCGCAAGGAGATTGTCCACACTGTTAGCCTCCACGAGATCGATGTTATCAACTCGCGTTCACAAGGCTTCCTGGCGCTTTTCTCCGGCGACACAGGCGAGATCCGGAGCGAGGTTCGGGATCAAATCAACACCAAGGTGGCCGAATGGAAGGAAGAGGGCAAGGCCGAGATCATTCCAGGTGTCCTGTTCATCGATGAGGTCCACATGCTCGATATTGAGTGCTACTCATACGTCAACCGTGCCCTCGAGGCAGAGTTGGCCCCTATCGTCATCATGGCCAGCAACCGCGGCCAGGCACGTATTCGCGGAACCACATACACCTCCCCTCACGGCTTGCCCCTTGACTTCCTTGACCGTGTAGTCATTGTGAGCACACAGATGTACTCGGGCGACGAGATCCGTCAAATCCTCGCTATCAGAGCGCAGGAGGAAGAAATCGATATTTCGCCTGATGCTCTGGCCCTTCTCACCAAGATCGGACAGGAGTCCAACCTGCGTTATGCCAGCAACATCATTACCACTTCTCATCTCTTGACCCAAAAACGCAAGGCGAAGGAAGTCAGTGTCGATGACGTGCAGCGCAGCTTCCGGTTGTTCTACGACCCGGCTCGCAGCGTGAAGTTCGTCAACCAATATGAGCAGCGCTTCATCGGCGACCAGGGCAACGTTAGCTTGAATGCCGGTGCTAATGGCGATGCTATGGAACTGTCGTAATAATGCGATGGCTGCGTTTCATATGCATGTGCGGTATTCGTTCGGGCTATTCGGTAAAAACTACACTGGATTTCGATTTACTTGTTTTTTGGCTTTCATTTGTCACATCAAACGATGTATGATAGGACTGGCGCTTGTTGAGGTGATTTGGCCTGCGGAATTGAATTGAGGTCCTCTTTTTGAGGTCATGACATTAATATTTCATTTCAAGATATTCGCTCGTAGCCAAACTAAATTAGCTGACATATGACCATATTAGACAAAACTAACACTGCTACTCCACGAGCCTGTGTCGCCCACTCGGCGGAACTCGACGCCTTCCCCGAAGTAGCCGGCACTGTTCCATGAGTCCATCATCGCACTGTCATATGGGCCATGGGCATCCCCTCCATCTCGAGCATCAGACCAGCGATATTCCCACATGGCTGGCCCTTGGTCTGTCTTTCCATTCTCTGACCAGGAGGGGGGGTCAACCCATTGTTCGCCGGTCTCATTGCGGTATTGGCGAGTGAGCATTTCACGCTCTGTGTCATAAATATCGACTTGGCCTCGGCCCATCAAGATATCGGCGGCGCCAGTGATAGCATCAATTGCCTGCTTTCGGGACGCTTCTTCGGGGTTTTCGTCCGTCATTTCAGTATCTTCAGCCGCGTCCTTTTTTTTGTTCTTCTTGTTCTGCCACTTGGGCTTCCGGCGAAGGCCTTTGCCTAGTCGGGCCAATGCTTCAAGTGTCGTTTCACCGCGTTCGAGATGTGTAATGATAGTCTTAAGGACATCCGATGTCAAAATGCTGTCGTCCATTCGATCCTTCTCTTTGCGTTCTGCATCGCGCTTGTCGGCAGCTGCCTTGGCTGCTCTAATATCCTTCTTCGAAACGTCATCCAACCAGTTGTCGTACTTTGCGTCTGCGTCTGCTGCCTTGCGAACGAAGTTGCCTTGGTCATCGAATCGACCCTCTTCCTGTTCATTTTGCATGTTGAAGGCATCAAGTAGAGGCGCGTGCTTTTTCTTCGCGCCAGCGCCAAGTTCCTCGTCGACCTCTTCGTCAACTCGTGCGCGCTCTTCCTCCCCAACCTCACTGTCACTGGACTCATTATCGTCGGCCATCTGATCTGCGCCCTTGCTCAGATCTACATTGAGCGCTCCTCCGCCCTTCGAAGAAGCGACCTGTCCCTCAATCTCGTCATCCCGTAGGAAACGAACGGACTTCTTGTTCTTGTTCAAAACTTCATCGCCGTCGACCTCTTCTTCGCCAAAATCTTCTTGTAGCTCGGCAAACATGTCATCATCATCGGCATCTTGCTTATCCTGTTTGCGCTTCGATTTCTCTTCCCCGCGGCCAGAGAACCCTTCGTTGTCGCTGTCCGAGTCGTAGCCGTCAAGGTTGATCGCCTTGCGTCGTATTTGCTGGCCACGTCGGCCAATTTCGTCGGCGTCCAGAATTGCATCGTCCTCTTGCGCATCGGCAGCAAGTGATGAGGGGTTACGAAGGTCGAAGCGCGGCTTTTTGTTTTCTGAAGCTTCCTCGCCAGCGTCGTCGTAGTGCGCGCGAGCGAAATCTTCACCAGCGCGCTTGGGGCGCGGTAGTGAGCTGGACATAGTGTGCAGGTAATGTTACTTTCACGGAAGTAAAGAAAATAGAAGCTTCGTCGCACGGCGTAGCTCAGAGAGGTGACTTCCGCTCTGGGGTCGGAGCGGAAAATCATGGCGGAGCGAACTTGCGTCACTGAGGGCGTCAAGTAAACGGTCACTTTGTTCAATCTACCTCGAAATATATCCTTTACTATGGTGAGCCACTAAGCCCTTGACGCCTTCTTCCTCCTTTATCCCTTCTAACATCTCCAGTTCCGACCTGACTACTGGTCCGACGACCCTATGGACGGAGTCCTAGGTGCCGGCATGATGCGTCCTGGCGCAGCAGCTCGCCGCTTCGACGAATACTACCGCTGCTACCCAGTGGCGATGCTCCCTGGTCCTGAAAGAGAGAATGTGAATCATGGCGGCAAGGTTATCATGCCTCCCAGCGCATTGGACAAGCTTACCCGCCTTCACATTACCTACCCGATGATGTTCGAGCTTCACAATGGGGCAAAGGAGAGAATGACACATGCCGGTGTCCTGGAATTTATCGCTGAGGAAGGAAAGATATATTTGCCATTCTGGGTGAGTGCGGCATCCATCTTGGAGTTCCCCTGCCTGTGCTAAGATTCGCCTTCTACAGCTGATGCAAACGTTACTGCTGGAGCCTGGCGACCTTCTCCAGATCAAATCGACCGACCTTCCCCCAGGACAGTTCATTAAGCTCCAAGCACAGTCCACCTCTTTCCTCGATATCAGTGACCCGAAGGCCGTGCTCGAAAACGCCTTCCGGAATTTCTCATGCCTTACTAAGGGCGATGTCTTCACTTTCGCATACAATGATCAAGTCTACGAGATGGCGGTGCTAGAGACAAAGCCGTCTGGGTCCAAAAATGCAGTTTCTGTTCTAGAGACAGATCTGGAAGTCGATTTCGCCGCACCTGTTGGATATGAAGAATCGCAGAAGACCAGTGGAACAAGCACACCCGGTAGCGTTATCGGTGGAAAGCTTCCACCCGGTGGATTGTTGCATCCCCATGGCACCATGGCACAATCAATCAACTACACCGCCATTGCCCCGGAGGCCACCGAGGCGGCAGCAGGTGCTCGAGCAGCATCCTCTAATTTCCTGTCCGGGGGCCAGCGTCTGAACGCAAAGAAGGGCAGCAAAGCCCCAACCCCGAACCCTTCTACTCCTGCTCCCGGGGCTTCAAATCCTCAACATCCTCCCCCTGCACGGAGACTGAACGGCCCACAGCCGCTTCGACTCCCACCCAATCAGCTATTCTTCGGCTACACCATCAAACCTGTCAAGAAGCGTGATGAGAATGGACAGGTCGTTCAAGAAGACCAGCCTAAATTCCAAGGAATCGGTCAGACATTGCGGGGGAAGCGAAAGGATCTTGGATCGGAAACCCCCACATCAGGGAGTGAGGCTGGGAGCTCAAAGGGCAAGGAAAGCAGCAAGAACTCCAAGGGTGGTCGCACGTTGCGCTGATTGCTGCAATGTATAATCTCCACCGTCATATATCCGGACGTCCATACAGGGGGAAACTAGATTATGCGGCGGGGATCTCGTTTACGATACAGCAAGGTCCTGGCGTTTGAGGAGGTGTCTCTTTTCGGCGTTTTCTCATGAATACATACAATGACCTTGTAACACACTGCTTTACGTTCATGTGTCTCGTATCCATATGTATTCTGCGCGATCTAGTGGTTATCCCGCCAATCTTACCCGGTTTGTGAAAGGCTTTGTATCTAAAGGATATGCACACCAACGCCCCCTGTTCGCATGTTTCCGAGGCAATTCTACTCGATCAAAACAGTAGGCCCCCGATGCCCTGTCAGGCTATTTCTTGCGTCATTTTTGAGGCGGTTTGCTAGAATCTAATGATTACCCCGGAGGGCGGCGCCTAATAACTACACGAAGTCTCTATAGCTAGCTAAGTGCCATCAGCATTATTCAACATAGGGACATAGCGACCTGAAGATGAATAGCCAGCTATACTTTCGTCAATTTTCTAGAGGCTGGGGTCGAAGAGCCGCATGTAGCACGGCTCTGGGTTTCTTGTAAACTAGTATATAGCTTTGCAGTCCGCCATGTACAAGAACCTGCGACAGGAATTCCTGACAGCTCGCATCACTTGTGCGTTTCAGCATCTTATGACAAGCGATTACTTCCCGTATGAATCCACCCCATTCGACGTATCGCTATACTTCACCTATGTGCCTCGGCACTTGGCAAACCTGGGGATCGTCGGCCCCACTCCGCTGCAGCATTTGCTTTGCCTGGCACAAGGACGTCAAAAAACGCATACATTATGGCCACAAAAACTAATCCACTGGCGCCATTTGCCAGGCTGGGCCCCTCAGTCTACATCCAAGATCCAGAAGTAAGCAACCAAGCAACTCGGCCAGTGATACTCATTGCATTCTGGATGAATGCACCACCACGTGCCCTGGCCAAATATGTGATCGAATACAGACGCCTGGTACCATCAGCCCGAATCATTTTTGTCCGGAGCTCCTCAAATGACTTCATGTTTCGGTCGTCCCAAAGTCAGCGAGCCCGCATGGTACCGGCCGTGGAAGCAATGCGCAGTTTTGTGACCCCTGAGAACCCGGTCTACATGCAGATGTTCTCGAATGGAGGGTTGTCCAATGCCACTCATCTACTCCAAGCCTGGAAAGAAGCTACAGGAACACCGCTACCTATCTCGGCAATGGTTCTGGATAGCGCACCGGGAAAGTCGAGCTTACGATCTGGACTAAAGGCTTTCTCTTACGCGCTTCCGAAGATGTGGATCTTGCGCTTGCTGGGGAAAGCTATGCTTTTTGCTTTTTTGGTTTTCTTTAAGCTGGTTCATGTCTTCTCCATTTCTCCGGATCCGATCTCCCTTGCTCGCAAGGTTATCAATGATACTTCTTTGGTGCGGGCGGCTAACCCGGAGAAGGCTCTAGCTCGCTGCTACATCTACTCTGATGCTGATGAGTTGGTTGACTGGCGGGACACGGAATCTCATGCTCTGAAGACGGAGGCTCAGGGCTGGGTGGTTCGTCGTGAACTGTTCAAGGGCTCTCCTCATGTTGCGCATATGAAGGCTGACCCGGATCGGTATTGGGGTATCGTCAAGGATTATTTGGGACCTTTGGTTTTGGTTTGAGACTTGTTACCACGTGAGCCCTTGTTCTGCTAGAGATAGAGATACGAATGCATTGAAGAGTTAGAAGTCCTCAAAATATGTTTCGACCCTTGACCCTGCGGTTAGATTCTATACAAGGTTCCCTACTGCCATGATACCTGGATCCTAGATCACTATGACTGCATTTTCGAAGAGACACCCATGGCACCCGTAGCTTTTGTTACGGCACAGATCTACTGAAAGGCCGGAAGGGAGTTCCGTTGCTTCTTAGATATACATGAGTTCACGACGACACCCATGAATCATTGAAATATTTCTCTTTACACGATGATTTGTGGTCCCATTTTTACCACTGCTACTTTTTCTGGTATCTGTGTCTGGTACAGTATCACGCTAGAGACCAGTCCTCGTTCAAGTAAGTTATGTTGCCCTGCGGTGTCTTTTTCATGAACTGTTTCTCTAACCCAACATGGTGGATTATCCAGTCTGAAGGCGGAAGTATTCAACTGTTCTACTAAAGAGAGATACAGTGGTCGTTTTGACCCTATACAGCATGTCCCAAAACAAGACCAAGGAGGCGGCCTCGCTCAGTTCGTCGAAACTTCAAGACTGTCGCCTCAAACTCCCAGGATTCGGCCGGCCACTGGATTATGCCCCAAGCGAAAAAAATATCTATGGTGTTCATAGCCGGAGTCTGTTTCCATCTGCTCTAGATGATAGGGACATCGAAGCAGGTTATGTAGAGTGAGTGGATGGGCATCCAAAGGCCAACAATACTAAAGCATTCTACAGTCTGCCAGTCTTGACTCTCCGTGAGATCGACATGTTGTGCATTCTGGAATATTTGACTGATATCCCGGAGTGGTGGAAAAAGGTGAGCATCTCATCCTCTTACTTCATCCTTTCCTACTGAGCAATATCTGCAGGTTTTTGATCCTGCCATCCAGGAGCAGTGGAAAAAGGATGCCATGAGCTGTGGTAGAGATATAACGCCGCGTATGGCCGAATGGATTATCGACGAGCTGGAGTTCAAGGCAATGATCTATGAAAACACAGACGTTGTTGCTCTGTACAATGGCGATGTCACCAAATCCGACAAGAATTTGCCTGACTCGCTTATTGAAAGTCTCAGGATTCAGATCAAGACTCTGGAGTGTGACGAGCCAGAGTTGAAATTCTACTACCCGGGATTCTTAAGAAAACAGCGAGACTTCATCGCCATGGCGCTGTACCCTCTTGTGTACGGCAAAAGTCGCATTCTCCCGGACAGGACTATTTCACTCGAGAATGCCATTGAGTACGCCGGTCAAGGCGAAGTCATACCTGTCCCGAAGGAGACTGGAATCACCAGAGAGGACATCACCTGGCGAGTCCTGTCCCGGGCAGATATTCAAGTTCATCCCTACAGCCGCAACTACCAGTTCCTCCCTGCAGACTGGGAATACCGTGAAGATGGTCGATGGCACATAATCACTTATATCAACAATCTTCACCCGGTCAAGCACCGGAACATTTACAAGCTCCTTGAGGAGTGTTTCAATAACATCATCCCTCAATGGAACGCAACTTTGACCCCCCTGAAGGACCAGCTCCATGCCCGTGCCCGGATCGAATACGAGAAGGCGGAATATTATCCTATTTCCAAGGAAACTGCGGCCCAGGCACCCCAGATTGGTGCCAAAGAGGCACAAAGCGTGTTCGACGAGCGAAATGAGAAATGGAGAATGGAAAATCTCGTCGCTATCCAACCTGATGCAGGCAAATTTATCCCCTGGGCCGTTCCCCCCTGGATGATGCACAACTTGCCCGAGGATCTACCCGCTCCTGTTCGAATTGAACGAGGCGTTGATCTTGTCCGCGACTACAAAGATCGAGGTCTGCAGGTAGTCACCCGTCTGCTTGGCTGTGATCTCACCCCAGACGATCCGTATTTTGAGACAGACTGGCACGTCGAGGGCCAAATGGTGAGTATCAAAAAAGGAAAAGCCTCCAATCTACTCCAACACGACCAATGCATCTGATCCTAACAACGGCGCCCAGAACGAACATATCTGCGCCTCCGCGTTCCTCACTTACGAGCATGACAACATCGAAGACGCCTTGATGGAATTCCGCAACGTTGCCGAAACGGCCACACTTTCAGAAGTAGAACACGACCCGAACGACTTCATCTGGCTGCGGCAAGTCTTCGGCCTAGATAACGGCGAACCAGCCATCCAATGTCCAGGCGCGATCCGCGTCGTACCTGGCCGAACTATCATGTACCCGAGCACAATCCAGCACAGGTTCACGCGGTACGAGCTGAAAGACAAGACGAAGCCTGGATACGGGCGCGCCGTCGTGTTCTTCCTCGTCGATCCCAACATTCGGATTATTTCTACCGCCAATGTTCCGCCGCAGCGCTTTGATTGGACTATGGATATAGAGTCGTCGGATGACGAGCTCAGGTCCTCGATGTCGAAGCTTGCTCTTGATAATAGGAAGTCCAAGGGGAATACGCCGCTTAGTTTGGATGAAGCTTTGGAGAATCGAAACAAATTTTTGCAGGAGATAATGGAGTTCATGCGGTATCAGCATGTGGCTTTTGAGTCTAAAGTTTTGTCGCTTTAATAATGGAGTTTGCTGCTTCGTCGGTGTCTGTTTTCTCGTTCTTACTGGTTTTGGTTCCGGGTATTAGACAATTGTTCCAAAATGAATCTAGGGTTTTATCTGTTCTTCTTCGTGAAGTATTAAGGCGCTCTACATGATGGGTAGCCGTAAGGATGTATTTTGGTTCATATACCTCTGGTGTCGTAAATTGCCTCACCTGAAGTGGTTTGTTTGTTGTCTTTACAACTACAATCACCCCTTACAAGAGAAGAAGAGTTCAGCAAGAATAATAATAAAATCGCCGCGCTATGCCATTCATTCATAAGACCGAGTATGCACACATGACCCATTTTGAGTATCCCAAACACCAACCAAAGTCTCACCCAATCACAAGCTTTAACGACCCTTCATCTCAGGGAACTCATCATCAAGCTTCAGACGAGCCGTGACATTCATACTCATCAGCTCCTGGATAAGCAGCTTGGCAGCGTAAGGAATAACCATCTTCACAACGGAGCGAGAAGACTTGCAGCCAGGACACCAATTCAAGTAACCCATGAAGCCACAGTTCTCGCAAACATCCACCTCGTGTCGATCAGACGAGATCATCAACCGCTCAAGGAGCAGCTGGCTAGTACCGTACGCAATCAAACAATCACGTTCCATCTCACCGAGACGGAGACCACCGTCACGGGAACGACCCTCGGTGGGCTGGCGGGTAAGTGTAGCACGGGGACCACGGGCACGCGAGTGCATCTTGTCTTGGACCATGTGCTTCAGTTTCTGGTAATAGATTGGACCGGTGAAGACGTAGAAGGGCAGTGCCTCGCCGGTGATACCGGAGGTGAGGTAGTCTTTACCACCGTAACTGAAACCCTTGTCGATGAGAATCTGGGACATTTCTTCGACGGGGCTACCGCCGAAACAGGTTCCGTAGCCGTGCTGGCCTGAGAGGACGCCTGCTTTGCCGGCGACCAGCTCCAGCATCTTTCCGACTGTCATTCGAGAGGGGAAACCGTGGGGGTTCATGATGATATCTGGGTTGATGCCTTGGTCGCTGAAGGGCATGTCCGCTTGGTCTGCGATGATTCCTACGACACCCTTTTGACCGTGACGAGAGGAGAACTTGTCGCCGACTTCGGGACGACGGGTTTGGCGGGTTAGGACCTTGATAAGTTGGGTTTCACCCTCTGTAGCTGAGACCAGGACCTTGTCGATGTAGGCGGGGTCTGGGAGCTTATAATTCATGGATGCGTTGATATACTCGTTCCTGCCAGCGTCGGAGCCCGTGATGCCCGTGGAGTTTTGGACCTTGGGTGTAACCTTGTTGACGTAGGTTTCGCCTGCATTGACCTGCTCACCAACGGCGGCTAGACCGTCATGCTCCAGGAGTGCGTGCTTGCGAATTGGAGCGCCGTTTTCGTATTCTGGTGGGCGGAGGTCGTCCTTTGATCCGTTGGAATAACTCTTCAGGTTAGTGACGTATTTGCGGAAGACCTGGCAACGTCCGAAGCCGCGGTCCACTGAGCCCTTGTTCAATACCAGGGCATCCTCAATATCGTAACCGGAGTAAGACATCACAGCAACAGTTGCGTTCTGACCGGCAGGCAGTTGATCATACTTGGTCAGCTCGATAGTTCGGGACTTGACCATTGGCTTCTGGGGATAGACCATGAGGTAAAGAATGGAATCAATTCGCTGGAACTGATTCGAAGCAATCGCACCGATTGCTTGTTTACCCATGGCGCATTGGTAGGTGTTACGGGGGGACTGGTTGTGGTGAGGGTAAGGAATCAAGCCAGCGACAGCTCCGAGGACAGTGAAAGGTTCGATTTCGAGATGGGTGTGAGTGTTTCCAATGTCCTTCTCGTAGATCGAGATGTAGGAGTCGTTCTCCTCGTTCACATCAAGATATTCAACGAGACCTTGGGCAAGGAAGTCATCGAATTCCATCTTGCCGTCTCGCAGCTTTTCGAGGTGGTGTTTCTGAACCCGAGATTTGCCATTCTCCACGACAATAAGCGGTCTGCAAATTCTTCCATCGTCGGTTGCCACATGGACAGCTCGCTGGTGGTGGTTGATGTAGATGCTGACGAATTCCGAAACACGACCCATACGGCGCAGTCTTCGGAAAGCGTTGAGGAAGGACTTGGGTCGTCTCGTCAAGGCAGTCGGAGTACCGTTGATGGAAATAGTGTAAGCACCCTTGGCATAGAGCTGCTGTCCACCAACACTGGCAATGTCTTCGACACCCAACATGAACATCAGGTTTCGCACGGGTCCCTCTTCGTCGTTTGTCGTGATGTGCGTCATGAGAGCCAAGTTCTTGACCAGACCACAGGCCTCTCCTTCGGGTGTATCGGCAGGGCAAAGCATGCCGAATTGCGATGGCTGCAAGGCACGAGGGCCAGAGACTTTTCGGGTCTTTTCGA